CTGTTCCTTGCAGTGCCATGGGAACGGTGGTGCTGGATGGGCAGATCTACGTGTGTGGTGGCTACGATGGAAACTCATCCCTCAACTCGGTGGAGTCCTACTCTCCAGAAACAAACAAGTAAGAGCCCTTGGTGTCCCAGAGCTTTTCCAGAAGGTTCCTCTCCAGCATTCCACGTCCTGGCACCGCTGGGCATCAGGGCTGTGAGAATGGCTTGAATAAGGAGTGGGCAAAGGAGAGGTGGTAGAATCCAGCGCTAGGAAAGCTTGGAACGATCTGTGGGAGTCCTGCTGACCTGTCCCCTCTCTCTCCCCCCAGGTGGACAGCAGTGACCCCCATGAGCTCCAACCGCAGCGCTGCCGGCGTCACCGTGTTCGAGGGCCGGATCTACGTGTCCGGAGGGCACGACGGGCTCCAGATCTTCAACAGTGTAAGGCCCTGGCCAGGGCTCAGCCCCTGCACCTTCAGCACGGGGCTGGAGGGCTCTGTGTCCCGTCCCTGGGCATCCAAACAGCCCCCAGTGGTTGTGCCACCAAATTGTGTCACTTCCACTCATAACAGAAAAACCTGAGGGGGAGCAGAAGTGGCTCATTCATCCCCTTGGGGCCGTGGAGATGTTCTGAGGGCTGGAGCCCCTTGGTCATGGAGACAGGCTGAGAGAGAAGAGAAGGCTCCAGAGAGCCTCTTCCAGGGCCTAAAGGGGCTCCAGGAGAGCTGGAAAGGGACTGGGGACAAGGCATGGAGGGACAGGACACAGGGAATGGCTTTGAGCTGAAGGAGAGGAGATTTAGGTGGGATATTGGGATGTAGTTCCTGGCCATGAGGGTGGGCAGGCCCTGGCACAGAGTGGATCCCTGGAAGTGTCCCAGGCCAGGCTGGACAGAGCTTGGAGCAGCCTGGGACAGTGGGAGGTGTTCCTGCCCACAGCAGGGGTGGCACTGGATGAGCTTTAAGGTCCCTTCCAACCCAAACCCTTCAGGCACCATCCCATAACAGCCAAACTTTTAACTGAAAGCAGTTCAGTCCTTTCAGCTCCCTCAGCCACTCCTCCTGCTCCAGACCCTTCCCTTCCCTGATTTACCACAAGAAACCCCAAACTGCCCCAGGTTTGGAGGTGCCCCAGCACCGCAGGGGATGCCCCAGGGCGATTCCCAAGGCAGAGCAGCAGCTGCAGCAGCAGCATCCCTGACCGTGCTCGTTCCCCCTGGCAGGTGGAGTACTACAACCCGCACACATCCAGCTGGCACTCGGTGGCGCCCATGCTGAACAAGCGCTGCCGGCACGGCGCGGCCGCCCTGGGCAGCCGCATGTTCGTCTGCGGCGGCTACGACGGCTCCGGCTTCCTGAGCGCCGCCGAGCTCTACAGCTCCGACCAGTGGTACCTGATGGTGCCCATGAACAGCCGCCGCAGCCGCGTCTCCCTGGTGGCCAACTGCGGCCGGCTCTACGCCGTGGGCGGCTACGACGGACAGTCCAACCTCAGCTCGGTGGAGATGTACGACCCCGAGAGCGACCGCTGGACGTTCATGGCGCCCATGGTGTGCCACGAGGGCGGCGTGGGCGTGGGCTGCGTGCCGCTCCTCACCATCTGACATCACCGGGGGGTTTGGGTTTGGGTTTGGGGTTTGGGGTTTGGGGGGCGTCTCGTCTGCAGCGAGCGTGCCAGGATTTCCAGGTGCTCGATCCGGACACAAACTTGACTTGAGAGTAATCCCCACCTGTAAGTTTTTGGGCTGAAGGTCCTGAAGGGTCAAATGTGGTGAGCAAAGACCCCTTGGCCTTGTCCAGAGCCAAGGCCGAGCGGATCCGTCCACCCATCATCCGTTTTCCTGCGGTTGCGCCTTTGGGAAGTGCCGTTGTGGGCTGGAGGAGGGGGCCAGGCTTCGTTGTGACATAAAAACAGACACTTGGAGGACTTGGAAAATCCATCTGCACCTTCTGGGAGCAGCAAAACCACCTGAGCCCTCCCAGGGGCACCAGCAGCGATTTGGGGGGTCCTGGTTGCACAAGGGGTCTCCAAACAGGACAAACACGGCGCTGTCACTTCCAGGAGCTTCTTACACAAGACACCCCCAGTTTCTCGTGCTTTCCTCAGCTTGATGTGGAAAACTTCTCCACAAGAGCCACAGGATGGAGAAACCAGGAAGAGGAAAAGTTCGGTTAAACCAGGATTGTTTGGGCAAGCTCTGGAGAAGGATGGATGGAAACGACTCCAGGCAACAGCCTGAGGGTTTCAAAATGGAAAATAGATTATCAGGATGTCCTTTAAATTAAATATCGAGGTATTTTCCAAGCCTAAGAGGCAGCTGGAACAGAAAGGCTGGGATATTTTAGGAGAGGCAAGGAAAATACTTTGTGAGTTTGTCGTGCTCTGCTAGGAAAGGTCTTTGCCATGGGTTTTGTGCCAGGAAACTTTGGAATGCTGGCAGAGCCAAAGAGCTGCCTGGCAGCATCTTCCCTGCAGCATCAGCCCTTCAGCCCCTGCCCTGCATGGTCCGTGATCCCTCTGGAGCTCTCCGTGCCCGGCTCTCCCCGTGCCACCCTGGGCACAGCCATACCTCCTCCGGGCAGGCAGGGCCAGGCAGCTGCCAGGGATTTGGGATCTCCCCCCGTGCCCAGCCCCATCCCAGTGTTCCAGGGGCTGGGAGGAGCTGGATGTGCCCCCCAGCCCCGCTCCTGGTGTCTGCTCCTGCTCCCAGCATCCCTGGGACTGACTCTGGCTGTACATGTGGATGTCTATATTGGGGTACTGTGTATATTTTAGGGTCTATAATGAGCATATCTGGTTATCAATGTGATCTATCAGGACATATCCATTTCTCCCACATCTATCCACTGCTGGCTTCCCAGGAATGGGAATCCTTTGGACTTTTCTGTGCTGCTCAGACTTTAAAAAGGAAAAATAAGAAAAAACACAGTCAGAATGAAGTTGTTGCCTGTGGCATCTTCTCTTCTCCAGGACCCCTCCCGATGGTCTCCGTGGGCAGAGGAGGCTCTGGTGAGCTGCTCTCCTGGTGTTCCATTATCCCTTTTCCCTCCCACCATCTTCCACCTGGGGCTTGTGTCCATAGGAATGGGAATATTGGAACAAAGACCTTTGGAAGAGCAGCAGCTCCCCTGACCCCAGGGCTGTTCATGGCCCCAGGGTTTCCAGAGTGCTGTTCCCAGGGATCCTGGGAGGCTCAGGTGTCTCCCAGATGTGCTACCCGGGATTCCTTCCCCAGGGATTTCTTTGCTTTTCCACTGTGGATGAAGCAAGGAGAAAGGGGAGCTCCTAGCTCCAAAGGTAACAGGAAAATCCTGAATTCTGGGGTAATGAGACCTGCTCAACTGGGGAAGGCAAATTGGAGAGCAGGATGCACACTGTGGAGTCCTTGGTAAACCCTGTGTTCCTGAGTCTAAGGAAAACCTGGGGCTGGGGTGTTTGGATGGATCTGAGCTGGATGAGAGGGATTTTAAAAACCCAAATCGTGTAAAGAAGCTGGGAGAGGGGAGGGGGCTCCTGGTTCTTCTCTCTGTGGGAAGCAGGAGGATGCTGTGGCTCCCGGCTCGGGAGGAGCAGGATCTCGGTAGGACCAGCGTTCCAAGGAACTGGGAGCAGCCACAGGGCAGGGGCCGCGGAGGGGGATCAGCCCTGCCGAGCTCCAGCATCGCCGCATCCCCTGCAGGTCCAGGCGCGTTCCCCCGCGGCACCGGGCCAAGGAAAACAGCGGCAACCCGATCCCTTCCCGCGGGCGGCACGGGAGGGGGCCGCTGTTTACCCTGCCTGGAGCCGCAGCCGGGGGCCCCGAGCCGGAGCCGGGGCTCATTGCCGGACCCATGGCGCTGCTGCTGGGGGCCGTGCTGCTGGCGGCGGGCGCTGCCCTGCCCCCGGCCGTGCCCCCGGCCGTGCCCGCGCCCCGGGAGCTGGCGCGCTCCGTGCTGGAGACGCACGGGCAGGAGCTGCGGCTGCTGCGGCTGCTGGGAGTGGCCAGGACGGTAGGAAAAGGGGTGCGGGGGGTGCTCCCGGCTCCGGCACCATCCCGTGCGGGGCCCCACGGAGCTTTTCTGCCGGCAGAGCTTCGACTGGGGGACCCACTTCAGCATCAACTTCACGGCCCGGCAGCCGCCCTGCCCCAAGCCCGCCCCGGACCCGCGCGGCTGCCGGGGCCGCCCGGGCAGGGTGAGCGTGGGGTGGGACCCCCGAACCCGGGGGATCGGGGGGTCCCCGGCGTGCTGAGGCCGCTGTGTCCGCAGGTGCAGCGCTGCTCGGCCCAGGTGTCCGTGTTCACCTTCCTGCCCGATGTGCCGCTGTCGATGGTGGAGTGCGGCCGGGAGCCGGTGAGGGCTCCGGGAGCGCGTCCCGGGGTGGGACACGCATCCCCCTCACTTCGGGGGGAGGGGGTTTGGCTCTGGAGTGAACCCCCCCCCCCTTTATTTCTCCCCGCAGCAGCCCGGTGACAGCGCCCAGCCCCGCTCCCCCAGCACCAACCCAGGTCACTCATCCTCCTCATCATCATCCTCCTCATCATCCTCCTCCTCATCATCATCCTCGGGGCCCCCTCCGCGGCCTCGGCCCCCTCCCGGCGCGTCCCTGCAGGGACCGTCCCGCCGCCCCCTGTCCCCAACAGAGCCGCAATAAAGAGATTTCGGGTTCGGACGTGTGCGTGTGTGCGGGTGACGGTTCTGGGCACCCGGGGGGCACCCTCGGCCTTGGGCAACAGCGATGGGGCAACTCTGGGCTTGTGCAACCCCGCGGGCACCGACCTGACACGGGCAACGTGTCACCAGCCGAGGGGTCCCGGCCCCCAAACCCCCGAGCCCGGCCAAGGGGCCCCCACAAGGGTGGGGACCCCGAGGGGTTCAGATGCCACCGCCCATCACGGGGACACACTGGGACCCCCCCAAAAGAACGGCCACTCTGCGGCTTGGGGCCCGGCGTTTCCCAAGGGGCAGCCCCGGGGCGGGTCCCCAACCTCCCGTGGGGGATAAAAGGGGCCCGGGGGTGGCCGTGGGGACAGCGATGCCGAGCCCGTGGGTGCTGGTGCTGGCGGTGCTGGGGGGGGCCTGCGCCCTCCCCGCCCCGGCGCCCCTCTCCTACACCGAGGCGCTGGCGCAGGCCGTGGATTCCTACAACCGGCAGCCCGAGGTGCAGAACGCCTTCAGGCTGCTCAGCGCGGAGCCCGAGCCCGGCCCGGTGAGTGCCCCCCACGGGTGACACCCCCACCCCACTCGTGGTGCCTGATCGGGGCTGCCCATCCCGACTCTGAGCCCACCCCGGTGAGTGTCCCCCACCCGGGACCCCCTATTTGTGACCAGGACCCCAATTCCTGTCCCCCCACCCGCGGTACTCCACTCGGGGTGCACAGTGACGACCCATGAGTGAGTGCCCCCCACCCGGGACCCCCCATTTGTGACCAGGACCCCAATTCCTGTCCCCCCAGTCACAGTACCCCCACTCGTAAGTGCCCCCCACTTGTGACCCCCCATTTGTCACACACCCCTCATGATCCCCCCTTGTCACCGCTCAGCGCTGGCCCTGAGCCCACACCAGTGACTGTCACCCCACTGGTGACCCCCTCCTAGTGCCACCCCAGTTGCTGACCCCTCTCCTGTCACCTGCCACCCACGCGTGTCCCCAGGGCGTGGAGCTGAGCTCTCTGCGGAGATTCAACTTCAGCATGATGGAGACGGAGTGCGCCGCCAGCGCCCGCACCAACACCGACGACTGCGACTTCAAGGAGAATGGGGTGAGGAGGAGGAGGAGGAGGAGGAGGAAGGGGGCACGGGGGCCAGCTGCCATCCCCAGGTGACACCGCGTGTCCCCCCAGGCCATCAAGGAGTGCTCGGGGCCGGTGCAGTTCCGGCAGGACTCGCCCGAGATCGACCTGAGCTGCTTCGACGCCTCCTCCGACGTGAGTGGGGGGAGCCGGGGGTGGCAGGGGAGGATCCCTGAGGGTCCCTGAGGGTCCCTCCCTGCCCCACATCCCCCAAAAGGGACGCCCCGGGGGCTCTGCTCCCCCGTGGTGGCTCCAGAGGAGGGTGGGGGTCCTGGGTGGGAGGTTTTAGGTGCAGAGTCCCATGGGTGGGGTCCTGGGTTTGGGTGTGGGGTGCAGGACCCCAGGTGGGGCATCCTGGGTGGGGTCTGGGCTTGGGGATGTGGATGGGGTCCCAAGTGTTGGATTCTGGATATGGGGTGCCAAGTGTCCCAGGTGTGGGGTCCCTGGTGCAGGGACACGAGTGGGGTCCCTGGTGCGGGGTCCTGGGTGGGATCCTGCGGATTGGGGTCCCTGGTGCGGGGTCCTGGGTGGGATCCTGGAGATTGGGGTCCCTGGTGCGGGGTCCTGGGTGGGATCCTGGGGATGGGGTCCCTGGTGCGGGGTCCTGGGTGGGATCCTGTGGATTGGGGTCCCTGGTGTGGGGTCCTGGGTGGGATCCTGCGGATTGGGGTCCCTGGTGCGGGGTCCTGGGTGGGATCCTGGGGATGGGGTCCCTGGTGCGGGGTCCTGGGTGGGTTTCCAGCTGCGGGGGCCCTGGGTGGGGTCGCGGCTGTGCTCCCAGGGAGGATTCCCACACCCCCGCGCCCTCTGACCCCCCCATCCCTCCGGCAGCCGGTTCTGATCCAGCGCGGCCGCTTCGGGCGCTTCCTGAGGAAGGTTCGGCGCTTCCGACCCCGGATCAAGTATGAACTCCACCTGAAGGGCTCCGTGGGGCTGGGCTGAGCAATAATAAAGGAGCCACCGGGAGTGGCCGTGTGGGCACCGCGTCCTCCTGTCTCTGTCACACGGGGAAACTGAGGCACGGCTGGGATACGGGGCTGCTCCGTCCTCAAGGGGACGTGGGGTCGGACTGGGGACAGGGATGGGTTCGCTCTGGGGAGCCCCCAGGACCCCACCCAAAAAAGGGGCCACCGTCAGCCCCAGGGTGTCACTGTCCCCATAGTCATTGTCCCCGTGTGGCATTGTCCCCACTGCATCTTGTCCCCCCCCAAACCAGCAGCGATGGCAAAGGGAGGCGAGGGGGACACAGGGGACACTGTGAGCCCTCCAGGGAGCTGCAGGGGAGGGGCTGGGGGGGGTTCAGGTCCCGAGGGGACCCCCATGGTGGCTTGGGACAGGGACATTGTGGGTGCAGATCTGGGGGCTCGGGGACCCCTGTGCCCCAAAAGCGGCAGGAGCAGCGTCATGGCTGCAGCCCCCTGGGCGTGCCCCTCCTGTCCCCCCGATATTCCTGTGGGTCTGTACCCCACAAACACCTACAGGCTCCAGGGGACCCCCAAGGTGTCCTGGGGACAGGGAAGGACAATCCCAGGGCTCCAAGTCCCTGCAGGGGGGCGGTGCCAGGAGGAGACCCCGGTGGTGCCCGTGTTGTGCCCATTTTGGGGGAGCTGCTCCTGCTCCCCCGGGACCTTCTGTCACCAGCACCGTCCCCATCCTCGTGTCCCCCTTGTGGTGACAGTGGCAGGGAACGGGAGGCAGCTGGAGATGCGGAGGGGCTGTCGGGGGTCTCGAGGAGGCAGCACCAGCAGGGGAGTCCCTTTGCCTCTCCACGGCCTTGGAGTGGTGGGGGGACCCCAGATCTGCCCCAGAGAGCGCCCCCCACTCGTGACACCCCCATTCATGACCCTCAGGGTGTTCCCAGCTCTCACAGCTCCTTGGCTGGGCATGGGGGGATTTGGTGGTCCAGGAGAGCTCGGGGGTCCCCATTGGGACGCTCAGGGTGACACCAGGAGTGATGCAGGGACCTTTATTGGCAGTGAAGCACCTGGGGAGGGGACACGGGGAGGGGACACAGGGTGGGGACACAGAGAGGGGACACAGGGTGGGGACACAGGGTGGGGACACAGAGAGGGGACACAGAGAGGGGACACAGGGTGGGGACACAGAGAGGGGACACAGGGAGGGGACACAGAGAGGGGACACAGGGAGGGGGCACAGCAGTGTCACCCTTCAGGGTTTGGGTGCCTTGAGGTTGAGCCTGTCCCGGATCCAGATCCGACCGCACTGGAAGAAGCCCCGGAAGTGCTGCTTGACCTTGCCAAAGAAATCCTTGATCTTGGATTTCCAGACTTGGCCAAACTGGGAAAACAAAGAGCAGGGTCAGACTTGGAGGGAGGGATGAGGAAGGGACCTGGGGGACCCCCAGCAGCCGGGGGGACACGGAGCCATTCCAGGCCCTTCTCACCACGGCCGGCGCCTTCTCGCAGGAGAGCTCCACCGTGGGCTGCTGCCCCTCCAGGAACACGGAGCCCTGGCACCAGGTCACCGCCTGTGGGGCACAGAGGGGACACAGGAGAGCCCAACCCCCTCGTGCCTCAGTTTCCCCACTGGACTATCCCCAGTTCCCACGGAGACGGAGCCTCACCCCGAGCCAGCGGCTCTTGCAGTTGCTGGTGGCCATTCCCGGTGTCCTGCACGTGGTTTCCTCCAGGGTGAAGCTCAGCTCCTGCCGGCTCTGCAGGTCCGAGGGCTGGGAAAAGGGACAGGATCTATCAGGGATCCACCTCCCCCCAGTGCCCAGCCCCACACCGGGCCAGAACCTGCCCCAAGAATCCAGCCTGGAATGGGTCAGGCTCAGCCCCTCAGGGCTCAGCCCCAAAACGGGGCAGATCCACCCTGGATCCAGCAATGCCCAGCCCTGGAGCTTCCCCTGGGAAGGGAGAGCTCAGCACTCACCCAGCCGGGCCGGGGCTGAGCCTCCCGCAGCCGCAGCACGTAGGGACTGACAGCCCTGGCGTTGAGCAGCTCCACGGCCGCCGCCACCACGTCCCCGTAGCTCAGGGACCGGGGTGGGGACGAGGACAGCGCGGTTCCATCCTGTCCCAGCGTGGCTCCGCGTGGACCTGGTGTGGAGGCTCCAGCCAGCGCCAGCAGCAGCAGCAGCAGCAGTGGCAGCGCTCGGCTCGGCCCCATGGCGCTCCTGGATCCTGGATCCTGCTCCCCAGCACTTTTATGGGAGCTGCCCTGGGCGTCCCAGGGGCTGGCACAGAGGGACGTTCCAGGGGGATGAATCTGGCCAGGAGCCCGGCCCAGCCCGCTGCAGTGCCCAGGGCCGTGGGGAGGGGTGTGCCGGTCACCGTCGGTCAGCAGGGACACAGGGGTTGGGGTCCCCCTGCCATGTGTGACCCGGGGTGACAGCAAGGACAGGGACAGGGGTGACACACATGGCCTGCCAGATTAAGCTCTTTTCTGACCCAGAGATGGGGCAACTGAGAGGTGTTTTAAAAATTTTTATTCTGTTTTCAGTCTCATGTGAAGGGTAAGGCAATACAGATGTTATAATTCACGCCATCACGATCAAAAACCAACTATTTCCTAATTACAACACATTATAAGTGTTTCTTGACCTATCAGCTTTTGCTACACCGTGCTGTAAATGTTTTAAAGCCAATAATCTAAAATGACTTTTTAATCTTTCATAGTTTTATTTCTCCAAAGTATCCAGTCTCATTTGCAAGGCCATCCTTTAAAACTTGTTTCTAGTTCCATTTCTCTCCCTCAGCAATGTCTGTCCTATTCTGTGGCATTTCTAAGTCAGCATTTCTTGTCTCAGTTTACATACAGATGCACACACTGTGAGCCTCCTGTCAGGCTTTGAGAATTCTCCACAAATCCATTTCCCACATTGGCCATGGATAGTCCAGATCGTGGTGGTGATGAAAGGTCTGAGCCAGGTGAGGGTCGGGATCTTGTCCCAGGGAACAGGGACAGGACAAGGGGAAACAGCCTCAGGCTGGGCCAGGGGAGGTTCAGGTTGGATTTGGGAAAATTCCTTCCCCAAAAAGTCTCTCCAGCCCTGGCCCAGCTGCCCCGGGCAGTGCTGGAGTCTCCACTGGTGAAGGGATTTAAAATCCCTGTGGATGTGGCACTTGGGGACACGGTCAGTGGTGGCCCTGGCAGTGCTGGGGACAATTGGGGTATTTTTGGTCTCCAAGGACTTTTCCCCTTGGTTCTCTGCAGACAGATGGGGTTTTCCAGCCCGGGGGTGATTTACGGCCTGTCCCCTCTGCAAACAGGGGAGCAGGAAGCTCAGGAGGACACCCAGGATCCTGCCCTGAGAGTGACCCTCGGCTCAGGCCCCCCTGGAGCCACCCAGCAGTGGAAAACCTCCTCATAAATCATACGGGGACAGCGACACCGAGGGCTGGCACCTGGAAGTCCCCGGGGAGGGACAGTGTCAGTCACAGCCCTGCAGCAAACCCCACCTGACCCCGGAACATTCCAGGTGCAGCCAGCTCCAACCTTCCATGGAGAAGGGTGGGATCATCCTGCGCCAAATCCAGGCTCAGCTCCAGGGATGGGGATCCAACACATCCCTGAGGATTGATCGGTCTCGCTGCTTCCCTTCAAGTCTTTCCCAATTCCTTCCAAACTGTGCCCCGTTCCTTAAAAATTCCCTTAAATTCTGTAACTCCTTCCAAATTCTTCCCCATTCCTTCCCTCCAAATTCTTCAATTTCTTCTGAATTTCCTCCAAAATCCTCCCAGCTCCTTCTAAACTCCTCAGCTATTCCCATTTCCCCCATGAATCCCACTTAGGATTTAGCAGCAAGAGAAAGAGTTTCAAAATCGATGTGAAATATTTAAATTTCATTTTTAGCTGCCCGTGCCAGCCCTGAGCAGGCACCAAAAAGCCACAAAATCCTTGGGAACAAAAAAGGGAAAATTGAGTGAGTTTTTCTTGGGAAGTTGTGATTCCCAGGACATCTCCCACCTCTGACAGGGACAGTAAATCCCACCCAGAACCAAACCCCGAGCCCTGAGCTGGGGAAATTCCCTGCTCATAAATCTGACTCGAGGTTTATTTGCCCTTCCCAGGACTGAGCTGTCCCTCCTCATTCCAGAACAGCCCCGGGTTTGTCTGGGAGCCGCTCCCACAAGCAGACCCTGCTCCGACCTGGGCTCTGGAAGGTTCCCAGTCCCAGGCTGGTCCTTCCAGCCCAGCAGGTCTGGGATGCTGGGATACGGAAGGAAGGGCACGGCTGGTCCGTCATGGAATCATCCTGGAGTGTTTGGGTTGGAATGGAGCACAAATCCCATTGCACACCACCCCTGCCATGGGCAGGGACACATCCCACTGCTCCAAGCCCCAGTGTCCAACCTGGCCATGGACACTGCCAGGGATCCAGGGGCAGTGTGAAAAACGCCAATCACTTGGGTTTTTTTAAAATTTTAAAAGTTTAATAGTAATAAAATGGTTGTAAAAATAGTGATACAGTTAGAGCAATAATAATTTGGACTATTTGAATTAGGACAATATGAGACAATAGAGACAAAGAGTTACGGACAGTCCCGGTACCTTTTTCTGGGCAGGACGAGCCCAAAAGACCCCCAAAAAGGACACCCGTTAACAAAGGGTTAACCTTTAAAAACAACAGCCTGTTGCATATTCATACACCTCATACATGATGCATAAATTCCATTCAAACACAGGATTCTGTCTGGTCATCAGCAACTTCTTCCTCTGAACCCTAACAGCGCCTTCGAGGTGGGAAGAAGTTTGTTTCTTTTGATAAGAGGGCAATAAATTCTTTTTCTCTGAAAGATTTAGGTGTCCTGTGGCTGCTATCTCGCTGAGAGACCTTTCTTTAAAAAAAGAATCTTACATAGCACAGTTTCTATTTTAACTTTTTTTAATAACCTAAAACTATATTTAACACACTACTTAAGAGATTTATTATAGCATTACTTCCTAACCCACAACACATATAATATTCATTTTAATATTTGTGAAAAGCCAATCATAAAATACGCATTTTTCACAGGCAGCCACAGCTGCTCTGGGAATTCCATCCCAGCCAGGAATTCCCAATTCCCAATCTCCCATCCATCCCTGCCCTCTGGCAGTGGGAGCCATTCCCTGGCTCCTGTCCCTCCATGCCTTGTCCCCAGTCCCTCTCCAGCTCTCCTGGAGCCCCTCCAGGCCCTGCCAGGGGCTCTGAGCTCTCCCTGGAGCCTTCTCCTCTCCAGGGGAACATTCCCAGCTCTCCCAGCCCGGCTCCAGCCCTGCAGCAGCTCCAGGCCTCCTCTGGATCTCTCCGAGTCCTCGCCAGGTCCCTGCCCGATCCCATTTTCCCGATCCGGGCCCGTCCCCGGTTTCCACGGCAACGGCACCGCCCTGATCATCATGGCAACCCCGCGGAGGGGGCGTGGTCACGTCGGTCAATGCGCGCTGGCGCTTCCGCCTTAGGCCACGCCCCGTCGTAGCCTCGCGCCTCGACCCGGAAGTGGCGCGTTCCCGCTCTCACTGGGCGCCGCCATGTTGGGAGGCCGCACATCATCCGGGCAGCGAGGAGGGCGCTGCGATTGGCGGAGCGCGGCACGTGACGTGCAGCTCGCACCGCGATTGGGCGGTGGTGCCGCCGCGTCTGCGCGGTGCGGGTTCGGGGTCCTGGGGGGGAATCCGGGATGGGGGAAGGTGACGGGGAGCCCCGGCCCTCAAAACACAGCGGGACACAGCGGCTCCCGAGACATTTCACCAGTTTTATTGGCTTTAAAGTCCCGTTTCACTGTCCGCCAGCACTGAAAGGCGGGAATGTCCTTACAGGAATTGCAGAGTCATGGAATTGCTGAGATTAACAAAGCCTCAGAGATGTCCGAGTCCAAGCCCAGCACTGCCCCGTGTCCCCAAGTGCCACCTCCACAGGGCTTTTCAGTCCCTCCAGGGATGGGGATTCCATCCTGCCCTGGGCAGCCGGGCAAGGGCTCAAGAGTCCCTTCCAAGAGGAACATTCCCAATATCCACCTGAACCTGCCCCCGGGGCTCTTCCCTCTTGTCCTGTTCCCTGGGAACAGAGCCCGACCCCTCCTGGCTCCAACCTTCCTCCTTCCAGGGAATTGCAGGAGCCAGAAGGTGCCCCCTGAGCCTCCTCTTCTCCAGGGTGAGCCCCTCCAGCTCCCTCAGAAGGATTTGGGATCTGGGAGAATGCTGAAAGCCCCAAAGTCAGCACCCCCCAGCTGTCAGGAACATCCCGCTGCCAAAACCAGCAGCAGCCACGGCAGGAGCATCCCAAATTCAGGCATCCCAGATTTTCCCCAGGCCACCCCCAGCTCCATGGAGAACTGGCAAAGGGAATGGATCCACGGTGCTCTGTTTGTTTGAATTTGTTGGAGCTTCCTTCTGTCCCCATAACAGCACCTGGCCCCTGGAAGGGCATTGGAGAATGTGCCAGAAATCACCTTTTCCTTGTCATGATCCAATTCCAGAGGTTCCAAAAGCTGCTGGGAATTCAGGCCAGGCTGGATTTCCCAGGAAAATGCTTCCACACGACTGGAAATAAACCTTCCTTTGTCATCCCCATATCCACCCCTCCACCCAACCCAACCCTCCCTGGGACAACTTGAAGCTGTTTCCCCTCATCCTGTCCCTTTTCCTTGGGAGTGTTGGCAACTACACAATGTTTAAAATGTATTTTATTTCTCTAGTCAGGCTCAGTTTATCTTTGCCTTAGAGAAGGGAATTAGAAGAATATTTTTTGAGGGTATTGTTCCCATCTGTGAGGCCTGATAAATTTAACATCTCAACAAACGGGGAATATCCCAAAAGACACCCAAAAAGATAACAGCCATCAGGAAGCATTGAGGAACATCTACCCCAGACCCCTGGGGCTGGAAAAGGCTGATAAAGAGATTTGTCAGGGCCTAATAAACATCAGACACAAAAAAAATCCCAGTCCAATAAGAAATCGAATTCTGAGAACTCTGCAATTTGGAACCAATGAGCATTGAATCAATGGATTTCTGTGGGTTTTAGACTGGATAAAGTTTGGGGAAAATTGAGTAAAATTCACCTGCCATGGGATGATTGCACACCAGGGCCACGTGTGGGTGAAATAATTTCTGTTGCACATCCCATCAGAAATAAGGCAGTGCCTTGTCTAACACCAAAAACGGTGTTGAAGGGTTTTTGTTTTTCCCATCATTTTGGTGACAGGAGCACAGCCCGACCCCTGGTTAGTTTTTAGAGATGGATTTAACATCCCTTCCAACCCAAGCCATTCCAGGATTTCAGGATCCCATGCTCACTTTTCCTTCTTTCCTCCTTTGAGCCACACAAACCCTCCCCTTTCCCAAAGCCTCTCAGTCAATCCCAGTTCAGGGCAGGCCCCACATTCCCAGTTTCCTCTCCCCCAATCCACCTCTGCCATATTTCTCCTCCCGAACCCCCTGGAAATGGGAGGGATTGAGTGTTGTGCCTCAGTGAATCCAATCCCAGTTTCCCCCCGGGAGTCAGAGCTTCTTCATCTCTGTCAAGTTGTCAATCTGGATGATGATGGGCCAGATGGTCTTCCCTTGGGGGACACCCTGGAGCTCCAACTTCTGGCACATGGAGTCCAGAATGTACCTGATCGCCTTCAGCACGTTCCGGAACACGTCCTGGAGCGACACCTCTGGCAATTTCTGGGCTTCCGTGCATCCTTCAAGCTCCTGACTGGCACCTGGATGCTCCAGAGGCTTCGCTCCCTTCCCCACCCCTGCATCCAGGCTTAGGGCAGGGGGTGACCCTCCAGTTCCCAAAATCTCCTCCGGGGCACGTTGTGTGTCCAATGTCACCCCCTCAGCATTCCCAGCGCTCTGGAGCTGGCACGGCGTGGCCGCATCCGTAGGGGGACAAACCCCGGGGTTTGTCCCCTGCGCGGCGCCGCCACTGGAGCTGGAGCGGTCTCTCCACGGAAACCCCAACCTCCAGTAGGGCTGATAGCGCCGCAGGATCTCCCTGGCTCTCCGGAACGTCCTGCGCCAGCGGCATCGACACGACGCCAGCTGGCGCCGCACGGCCCGGAAGGAGCTGACCTCACGTTTCCTCCCAGCCTTGCGGTTCCTCCTGGCCCCACGGTTCCTCCCGGACTTGCTTCTCCTCCTGCCCTCGTGGCTCCCCCCAGCCTCGCGGCTCCCCCCGGCCTCGCGGCTCCCCCCAGCCTCACGGCTCCCCCTGGCCTCGTGGCTCCCCCCGGCCTCGTGGCTCCCCCCGGCCTCGTGGCTCCCCTCGGCCTGGAGCTGCTGGCAGTAGTTGTGTTCCCACAGGGAGCAGGGCTGGGGGGCGCAGGGCGTGCCCGGCTCGCTCCGGAGGCAGTAGCCATGGTCCTTTGCTGCTGCTGCTCGCAGCTCCTCCACCCGCAGTGCCCGGGTTCCTGGGAGAGGTGTCGCCTCTCCCAAGCTGTGTCCGTGGTGTTGGGTATTCCCGTGATTCCTCTGCCCAGGGCCATCCCACAGCTGTTCCCAAGGATGCAGCCTCTGCTGTTCCATCATGGAATGAAGCGGGAATGTCTCACTGTGAGTTAGGTCTTCCATGAGTTCAGGTTTATCCTCCACTTCCTCCTTCACAGGCCATGGCTGGGTTTGGCTCCCCACTCCACTGTCTGCTTCCGACGGGACTTCGCTCCTTCCCTTGTGACAGCCAAACTTCTTCTGGAAGTTCCTGTCCTGGAGACACCACAGCGTGCTCCATCCTGCTGGGAGAGAGGTGGGAAGGGGTTGGATCCTTCCTGACTGGAGCAGGGAGAAGAACATCCCTTCTTCCCAGTCCAGGACTATCCGGGCTCCACATCCCAACATCTGCCAGATATCAGGGGAGGCCCACAGTGGGAGAAGCCCTGGGAGTGGCCCAGGGATGGGACTGGAGCAGGAGGGAGCAGGACTCACCTGGACATGAGGTCTCCAGACCCTGGTACCCACTGGATCTGGGCCACCAGTCAGAGGAAGGCTCCTCCAGCCAGCTCTCAGTGTGTCCTGCAGGGAAGACAGCAGATGTCACCAGCCAAGCTGGAAATCCTTACTCTCCATGGCCACGGGAATGAAGGAAGAGCCCTGTCCTTGTCATCACCAGGACTCCTGACTTCTCCATAGCCATAGGGATGGAGCAGGAAGGCCTCACCCCATCCTGGATGCGGATTCCATCCCTCAGGGTCGGGATATTGCTGTTCACCTGGGGATGAGCAGACCCACGGCTCTTCCCCGCGCTCCAGCCGGTGCAGGACGTCGGGCTTGGGGCCTGGATAACCTGGGAATGGACAGAGGGCGTTGGACTGTCCCTGATCACAGGAAAACCAAGGACTGGGACACCCCAGCTGTGCCTCACCATGCATAGAAGCAGCTCTGGGATGTGGGAAAAGCAAGGGAGAAATCAGAGCTGCTGCCAGACAGGGATTTATTCCTGAGAGCCCTGATGGAAGTGTGGGAAGTTCCACAGCTTCCCAGTTCCACTGACAGGCTTTCCCAGAGAGGGAATGTCTCCTGCTCATCCCAGGGGTGGGACATCCCACCGTGCTCCCTGATCTTAGGGAATCATTTCCAGGGGTGCTCAAACCCAGACCCAAATCCTGCCTTTTCCAGCACTAAACTCCCTGATCAGCCTCTAAAAAGGAAAACTCCTCACAGGAAGGGTTGTCCAGCCCTGGAGGGATTGGAAAGTTGTGAGGATGAGGCACTTGGAGACATGGATTAGTGGTGGCCTGGCAGTGTTGGGGAATTGTTGGACTCGGCCACCTCCAAGGCCTTTTCTGACCTCAGCCACTGTGGGATTCTGGGATTCAGCGCTCTGGAAGCCGCTGGGGTGGGATCTGAGGGAAGGCCTGCCCGGGGCAGTTCCCAGGATTACCCAGGGAGGTCAGCAGCTCGTAGGTGTCGGACACGACGTCTCGGTACAGCTCCCGCTGCCCCTCCGTGAGCGCGTCCCACTCGGCCCGGCTCAGCAACACCGCCACGTCCTCGAAGGCCATCGGCTCCTGCCACTGCATCAGGGATCACAGCTTCTTCAGGGATCAAATCCCCCCTTCAGGGATCAACTCCTTCCCTCAGGGATTACACCTTCCCTCAGGGATCACACATTCCCTCACAGATCTAATCCTCCCTCAGGGATCACACCCTCCCTCAGGGATCACAGCTTCCCTCAGGCATCAAATGCTCCCTCAGTGATCTAAACCTCCCTCAGGGGTAGCTCCCTCCTCAGGGATCACAACTTACTTCAGGGACCTAATCCTCCTTCATGGATCAAATCCTCCCTCAGGAATCACACCTTCCCTCACGGATCACAGCTTCCCTCACGGATCTAATCCTCCCTCAGAGATCACACCTTCCTTCAGGGATCAACTCCTTCCCTCAGGGATCACACCTTCCCTCAGGGATCAACTCCTCCCTCATGATCTAATCCTCCCTCAGGGATCACACCCTCCCTCAGAATCACACCCTCCCTCAGGGATCAACTCCTCCCTCATGATCTAATCCTCCCTCAGGGATCACACCCTCCCTCAGGGATCCCAGCTTACATCAGGGATCAACTCCTCCCTCATGGATATAATCCTCCCTCAGGGATCAACTCCTTCCCTCAGGGATCACAGCCTCCCTCAGGATCTAATCCTCACTCAGGGATCACACCCTCCCTCACGGATCTAATCCTCCCTCACAGATCACGCTTCCCTCAGGGATCACACCCTCCCTCCCAGCAGGAGAAGCCTTTCCCAGCCCCAAGGAGCTCCCAGGACATGAGGCCATGGATGGGGCTGTCCCAGGAAGGTGTATTCCCCACTGGGGTGGGAATTATGTATCTGGAAGAAGGACAGGCTGGAATCCAGCACCAAACACCGCAATCCAGCACCTTGGGATGTGTTTTACCGTTCCTACTGGGAACACTCCGTGATCCCGTGGGATGGGGTTGTCCAGGAGCCCAGGTCACCTGGAGCTGGGCTGGGGGACATTCCCAGAGGCCCCTGTGACCCCCAGGGCCCATCCCAGGAAATCCCTCGGGAGCGATCCCAGTGGGGATGGGGGAACAGGGGCAGAGAGAAGGAGAGGAGAGATATGGGGGGAAATGTGGGGTTGAGAGGGGTTTGGGGGTGGGGGGTGACGGGGGTGGGACTGGGGGCATGGAATGGGGGTTTTAGGGGCTGATACGGATTTGGGGAGTGATGGGGATTTTGGGGGGTGACGGGGTAGGGAGGGATGGGGTGGGGGTGATGGAGTGGGGGTGACGGGGGGTCCTTAGGGCGGAATTTCATGGCGGGGGGGGGGGCAGTGGAGGGGGTGATGGGGTGGGATCGGGGGTGTGATGGGGGTGATTTGGGAGGTGATTTGGGGTTTCGGGGTGAGGCTGGGGGGGTGATGGGGGTGGAGGGGTCCTTGACCATCGGAGGCCGAGCCCCGCCAGCAGCTGCCGAGGGGGCACTGCGGGAGCCCCCCTAGATGCGGGGAGGGTCGGTGGTCCGCACATCGAGGGCGGCCCGGGGCTTCCCCCGGCAGCTCCCGGCTCCTACCTGCGCCTGCCCCGCCATGGCGGCCGGGGGCCCCCGCGGGTCTCGGGGTGCACGGGCGGGCCCCGCCGCCTCCCGCCGCCTCTCCCGCACGCGCTTCCGGCGCAGGCCCCGCCCACAGCGGAAGTGCCGCCATGGCCCAGCCGGAAGCGCCGCCCCGGAAGCGCCGCCGTGACCCCGGCACGTGAGGCGGGGCCGGGGCCAGGGGTCAGATCCCAACGGGAAGCGGAACGGGAACAGGAACGGGAACTGCGGCCCGGCTCTTCCCGGGAGCGATTGTCCCGGTGCCCCTCCCCTGAGGGACAGGGACACCGGGACTCTCCCTGTTCCCTGCGAGCTCAGGCCGAGCCCTTCCCGGATCCAGCCCGCTCCAATCCCATTTGGCCTCCAGAGTCACCGATTCTCCCGAAATCCCAAATTTATCGTGAGAATCCTCAGGTTTTCCACCAGAGATCTCTCAGATCTGGTCCCGACTCTGGGATTTCCCATGGCCTTGCCCGAGGCCTGCGCTCACGTTCCCCGCTGCCCACACATCCCTCCTGGATTTGCCTCCTCCAGATTTCCCTCTTCTCCTGGATAAATTTCCCATCGATTCTGTATATCCCGTGTGCAGCTTGATTCCCTTCCCACCAACCCCCTGCAAGCAGTCTCCATCTACCCCCTGGAATTCCCTATGGAATTCCTCTGCCCTGCCTGGACCCTTCACGTCTGTGCCACCAAAAGCCAGAAATTTGCAATCAATCAAATTCCATCGTATCCTAAGGATCCTCAGGAGTGGCCAGGACTAATTCCTCATCACTAAACGGATACAGCGAGCCTGGTTTGGTTTAACAACAATCCCAGAGCCTGGAATTGTGGGGTTATTGCAGCTACAGGAGCTGCAATAGGATGATCCTTAAATCCCCTCCCAGCCCAGGCCATGCCAGCATTCCAGGACCTCATGAGAGGGGTGCAGCAAGAGCAGGACCCCAAAGCAGCGTTTTGGAGAGAAGTTTCCTCCAGCCCATCCCTTATCCAGACCCAGCCCTTTCCCCTCCCTGTGCCCGGCAGCTCCGGCCCCGAGTGACCTTTCCGGGGTCACCGTGGTGACATCGGGGCCAATGTCCAGGCGGGGCCCGGCACAGCCGCGGGGACACCATGAGGCTGTGGCTGCTCTGTGCCGTGGCCGTGGCCGTGGCCGTGGCCGTGGCCGGGGTGGCCGGAGCTGAGCACGGCGCCTCCGGGATGGCAGCACGCGGGAGAGAGGTCAGTGCTGTGCGGAGAGGGGTAAAACCGGGAATAACGGGACCGGGAATGCCAGAGCTGGGCACGGCCCTGGCTCCGCGAGCAGCAGCCCCTGCCCCCTCCCGCCCCTCGGGGCTGTTCCGGCACCGAACCCGGGCAAATCCCGGGGTGAAGCTTTTCCAGCCTCCCTGTCCCTGCGGGGATGGGCTCGGCACTCCCGGGGCCCCCGCAGCCGCGGGAGATCCCGGGGGGGATCACCGGCATTCCCGGTCCCGCCCGCATTCCCCGCTGCGCTCCGGGAGATGCCGATCCCAGCCTTCCCTCCGCAGGGCCGGCGGCGACCGCACAGACCCTGCTCCGGCTGCTTCTCCGTGCTGAGCGAGGTGAGCCGGGATGCGGGAATGCGGGAATGCGGGAATGGGGCCGGGGGACGGGGCTCCCACACCCGCCTGTGTTCCGCAGGAGTCGCAGTCCATGCCCTGGAATTCCCGGGAGGAGGAGGCGCCTCAGCCGGGCAGGCGGGCACGGAGTGGGAAGGGACTGGAGGTAACAGAGCGTGCCCGGGGCTGCCCGGGAATGGGGTGGGAATGGAGATTGGCGTGGGATGGGGATGGGATGGGATGGGGTTGGAATGGGGATGGGAAGGGACGGGATGGGATGGGGGTGGAATGGGAAAGGGACGGGACGGGATGGGGTGGGATGGGATGGAATGCGATGGGGTGGGATGGGATCTCCCTCTCCCTGGCTCCGTGTGACGCCGCGCTCACTCCCGCAGGGCAGAGCCCGGAGGGAGAGCCCGGAGCCGGCCCAGCCCGCCGGACACCCCGGGCGCATCCCGCTGCTGTGAGAGGTGACAGCGGAGCCCCGGCAGGAGCCCGGGCCCGGCGGGGACCCCCGGCAGCCCCCGCGGGGCCTTGCAGCAGTCATCGAGCAGCCGAGACCGTGGCAGGAGCGATGCCGGAGCCTGGGAATGCCGCTGGACACCGGGAGCAGCCCCACGGCAGCAGAGAGCTCAGCTCCCCGCACTGCGCTGAGCCCCCCGCCCTTCCCACCCCCAAAATGCTTCTGGGGCAGCCGCCCCCGCCTTGCCAAGGCCCCAAATAAAGCCAGCACACCAGAGGGAGCGGATGCGTTTGGGGGGACACATGCAGGGTGGGTGACCCCGACAGAGCCACCCCGTGTTGGGCTGGGCTGGGTGGGACACCGGGGACACCGGGGGTCAGAGCCAACCCGTGGGGAGACTGCACAGGAGGACTGAGGGGGGATCCCAGGGATGCTGGTTCTGGAGCTCGCTCAGGAACGTCTGTCCAAGGGTATGGGAGGTTTCCCAGAATGCTGGATCACAGGGATAGCGAGATCCCCCAGGAATGCTGGGATCACAAGGATGGGGAGATCCCCCAGGAATGCTGGTCCCGGGGGAGGTGGGGCTGGAGGACCCCCCAGCGATGCCGGTCCTAAACAGGGCTCCCAGTTCAGGGGAATGGCGGATCTCTGAGAATGCTGGATCACAGGGATGGGGAGATTCCCCAGGAGTGCTGGACCACAGGGATAGCGAGATCCCCCGGGAATGCTGCTCCCAGAGGATGTGGGGCTGGTCCTGGGGTCCAGCAGGGCTCCCAGTTCAGGGCCCGGGGAGTGCCTAGAGGTCCGGCTTTGGTAGCCCCGGATTTGGTGGCCCCGGCCTCGGTGACCCCGGGCCGGGCCCCGCCCCCAGTCCTGACTCCACCCCTTTGCCCGACCCCGCCCCTCGTCGTGGCCCCGCCCCCGCCCGGCTCTTGCTCCTCCCGGCCGCCAGGGGGCGCCGCTCCCCGCGCGGTGCCGCTCTGGCGGACGGCGCCCTCTGTGGGCCCGGTGGCGGCGCGGGCGCGGGGCCCGAGGCGGCGGTGGCGGCCGCGGCCATGTCCCGCCGGGGGCCCGCACAGGTCAGGGCCCGCCCGGGCCACGGGCCACGGGCCGGGATGCGCGACGGGACACGGGACGGGGCGGGCCGCAGCGGTGCTGGGTCAGGGGCGTGCGGGAGTCCCACGGGGGAAGTGGCACTGGGGGTCAGGGGGGTCCCTCAGGGTCCGGGAGATGAGGGGACAGAGGTGCACGGGGCGGTCCTTGGGGGGTGACAGCCCGGGGGTCTCCGGGAGAGCTGGTTCTGGGGGGTTGAGGGGTTCCCCAGGAGAGAGGGTGCTGGGGGAGCCCCCAGGGGGGCTGGGTCTGGAGCCAGGGGTGTCCCTCTGGATCCTGAGTGACAGCTCGGGAGGACGGGGCTGCCCCAGGGATATCGGTTCACAGGGGTGAGGGGATCTCCCAGGGACGCTGCTCCTGCGAGAGGTGGAACTGGGGAACCCCCCAAAGGTGCTGCTCCTGGGTGCTCCCCTGGGGTGTCCGTTCAGGGGGCCTCCCTTTGCTCCGTGGGAAGGTGGGGACAGGGGGACGCGGGGGTGGCGGCCAGGCTCTGGCAGATCCCTGCGGAATTGGGGTCTGGGGGTATCCCTCGGGGCTACCAGGGGGTCCCGAGCGAGTCCCCATTCCCTGCCCACCCAGACCCCTGACCCTGCATCCCCGCAGGTGTCGGGCAGCCTCCGGCGGAAGGCGGCACCGGGCACGGCCCCGTCGGAGCTGCAGGAGCTGCGGAGCCGCACGGAGCGCGCGGAGCGGCGGCTGCTGGCCTGCGAGAACCTGGTCGGGGAGCTGGGCAGCGGCCTGGCCGCCCTCAGCACCCTCCTGCAGGGCTACGGGCAGCTGCAGCAGCGCCTGCTCAACCTGGAGAACCTCCTCAAGAACAGGAACTTCTGGATCCTGCGCCTGCCCCCCGCCTCCGGGGGGGAGATCCCCAAGGTAGCAGCGGCGCTTCCCAGGGATCCTGGGACCGTGCAAGGGCTGGGGGCCGAGCTCCTGTGTGTCCCGAGCCAGGCGTGGTTCCAGGGAGTTCCCTGTGATTCCAGGTGCCGCTCACCTTCGATGATATCTCGGTGTATTTCAACGAGCTGGAGTGGGAGAGGCTGGAGCACTGGCAGAAGGATCTGTACAGGGCCGTGATGAGGGGCAACTATGAGACCTTGGTGTCCCTGGGTAAGGCCTGGGGGGCTGGAGCTCATGGAATCGTGGGTTTGGAAGGCTGTGAGGTGGTGAGGCCCTGGCCCAGGTTGCCCACATCCCTGGCAGTGTCCAAAGCCAGGTTGGATGGGGCTTGGAGCAGCCTGGGATAATGGGAGGTGTCCCTAACTTCCACTAGAGGGAAATGTTCCAGCCAAAGCTTTTCCCTCATTTGGGATTTTAGTTCGTGTTCTGCTGGTTAAGATCCTCTCTGCCTCAGCTGCCTCTGTGCTTGGGGGTGGGTCTTGCCTTGGGGCCAAGGAACTGTTTGGAGTAGGGATGAGGTGTTTGTGTCTCCGCCAGGACTGGGACAGGGGATGAGGGCGAGGGTCACTGTTGGAATGTGCCAGACTAAAGACACAGCCCAATCCTAATCCACCCCCCATCCTCTGCCCCACGACCAGACTACGCCGTGTCCAAGCCCGAGATCCTGTCCCAGATGGAGAGGGATGAAGAGTTCAGTTACAAGGAGGTTCAGGAGTCCCCATGGACAAACACTGGGGATGGTCAGGAGCTCCTCTGGGCAGCAGAAGAGAGGGACGAGGCAGAGGAGGCTGCAGGAGATGGAAGCCCCATGGGAGCTGCCCCAGGTGGGTGCCAGGAGGAGGTGGCTGTTCCTGGGGATCTCCCCTTCCTGAGGAAGGAAGGGCTCCATGGACTAAAAGCACCCCAGAGCACCGTGAATCTTCATTCCAAGAGGAATGGCTGTGCTTGGTGGGATGAATCCCATGGAGAACAGAGCCTTGCAGGCGGGTCTGGAGCAGTGGGAAAGGCCTCCTGTAGGACTGGGGCTTCCAGAGACATTCCTGCCTGCTGTGGAGGGACAGGAAACGGGCTGGGAAGTGAGGAACTGGAAGCTGAGGTGGGAGGAGGAGGCTGGAGCTGCTCTGCTTGTCCTGGGGGAACAGAGGAGTGTGGGGAGCCCTGGCGTGTGGATTTAGAGTGGGAGGGCTGGGCAGGAAGGTGGGAGGTGCTGGAAAGGGACAGACAGACCCAGACAGAGCTGGGAGCAGCAGAGGTGTGGGAAGAGCCGTGGTTGAGGGCTCTTTCCTGCAGGATTGAGGAGCTGGGAAGGTGAAAGGCTCCTCAGGAGAAGCTGGGCAGGTGCTGTGCTGTGGGAACACTCACCTGGAGCCCAGGTGGGAGTTTGGGGAGAGGAAAAGGGACACAGAGGGACATCTCCTTTGGGCTTTATGTTCTGTTACTCAGAGCTTCTCTCCTGTGTGGATCCTGCCCGGGGCCAAGGATGCAGCTCTGCCACTGGGGTTGGAGGTGTTTGTGTCTCTGCCAGGGCTGGGAGAGGGGACAAGGCTCACTTTGGGAATCTGGCTGGATAAAGGTGCAGTTAAATCCTAATAAAGCTCCTGTTCTGTGCTCTGGGAACAGACAGTGCCAAGTCCAAGCCCAGCAGCTGGACCTGCATCGAGAGGGATGAAGAGCCCAGCAACAGAAAGAGTCCCAAGCCCTCATGGACCCAGAGTGGGGACAGCCAGAAAACCCCACAGATACAGACTGGGGACAGCCAGGAATCCTCAGAGACACAGATTGGGAGCAGCCCAAAATCCCCACGGACACGGAGTGGGAACAGCCAGAAAATCCCACAGATACAGAGTGGGGAAAGCCCAAAAGCCTCATGGACACGGAGTGGGAACAGCCAGAAAACCCCACAGACACAGAATGGGGACAGCCAGAACCCCCCACAGACACAGAGTGGGGACAGCCAAAAATCCTCATGGACACGAAGTGGGAACAGCCAGAAAACCCCACAAATACAGACTGGGGACAGCCAGAACCCCCCACAGACAGAGACTGGAGACAGCCCAAAATCCTCATGGACACGGAGTGGGAACAGCCAGAAAACTCCACAGACACAGAGTGGGGACAGCCAGAACCCCTCACAGACACAGAGTGGGGACAGCCCAGAGTTCCCATGGACACGGAGTGGGAACAGCCAGAAAACCCCACAGACAGAGACTGGGGACAGCCCAGAGTTCCTGTGGACACGGAGTGGGAACAGCCAGAAAACCCCACAGACACAGACTGGGGACAGCCAGAACCCCCCACAGACACAGACTGGGGACAGCCAGAACCCCCCACAGACACAGACTGGGGACAGCCCAGAGTTCCCGTGGACACGGAGTGGGAACAGCCCAAAGTCCCCAAGGACACACAATGGGAATAGCCCAAAGTCCCCAAGGACACAGAGTGGGAACAGCCCCAAACCCCCACTGAGACAGACTGGGAACAGCCCCAAGTCCCCACAGGCACACAGTGGGGATAGCCAGACACTGCCTCAGACACAGACTGGGGACAGTCAGAACCCCCTCCAGACAGGTGTCCCCAACAATCAGAAGCCCCCACAGACACCAGGAGAGATGGAGCAGCAGGAAGAGGCTTCGGGAGAGGATCCCATGCCCACGGAAGCTGGCCCAGGTGAGTTCCAGGCGTGCCAGGGAGGATGTGCTTCTCTTTCCCCAGCTCTCCAGGGCAGAGGAGCATGGCTCTGGTGCTTGGAGAGGCATTGCCAGCGAGCCCTGGGATGTTGTCACAGGACAGTGGAAGAAGGTCTGGACACGGGAATGCAGCCTGTGGAGGTGGTGGGGTGAGGCTGCTCTGTGAGCTGGTGGCATGTGGCACCTTGCTGTCCTTCCCTCCCAGCCCTCCCTCTGCTTTTGGCCCATGTGTGGCTTCACTCCAGTTCCTCCTGACACCTTCCAGCCTTTCCACAGAATTGCTGGGGTTGGAAAAGCCCTCTGAGATCACTGGGTCCAACTGTCCCCCAGCACTGCCAAGGCCCCATGTCCCCAGGTGCCACATCCACAGATCCTGCAGGAACAGGGGACTCCAGCACTGCCTGTTCCAGGGCTGCACAGCCCTTTCCAGAAGGAATTTTCCTGATAGCTGTTCCACATCCTGGCTCTTGAGCTGCAGCTTTCTCCAGCTCTTCCACACACTCCCAGCAATCCCTGGTTCATATTGCTGGAGTAGGGACCTGGGAGGTCCCCATGGGTCTTTCAAATCCCTGTTCCCTGCAAACAGAGCTCCCCATCCTGATGATGAACGTGATGTCCCTGGGGGACCGTCAGCAGGGGACGGTGGCAGAGGAGGACGCAGAGATGGAGGAGGACCCGGCAGAGCCTGACACTGGTGAGTCACTCTGTGCTGGGGACATGGGGCCTGGCACGAGGGTGGGAAGCAGCTTCCAGAGCTGATGGGCTTGAAATAGGAAGGGAAAGTGAAGCTTCAGGGGTTCCTTTTATTTTTTCCTGCAACATCATCATGTGGGTTGAGAGGTGGGTCCCTTGTGCCACTGGTCCCAGTGGCACCCGTGGAGGGCTCAGCATGGGAGCCCTCCAGGGATGGGCACTCATCCCTGCCCTGGGCCACTGTGCCACGGCTGGACAACCCTTTTGGGGAAGGAATTTTCCCAATATCCAACCTGAACCTTCCCTGGCATAGAGGGAGGGGAGCTAGAGGCCATTTCTCCTTGCCCTGTCCCTATACCCTGGCAGCAGAGACCTCCCTGGCTGTCCCCTCCTGTCAGGGAGTTGTGCAGAGCCACAAGGTCCCCCCTGAGCCTCCTCTTCTCCAGGCTGAGCCCCTTCCCAGCTCCCTCAGCTGCTCCTGGGGCTTCAAACTCTTCCCCAGCTCTGTTCCCTTCCCTGGACACGATCCAGCCCCTCAATGTCTTTCTTGTCATGAGAAGCCCAGAGCTGCCCCTGGAACTGGAGGTGCCCCAGTAGTGCCAGCACAGGGAGGGCCCTGCTCCTTTGTCACACCGGTGCTGACACCAACATGGTGCCTCCGTGTTCCAGAGGAAGCCTTATCCATGGAAGATGAAACACCGTACGAAGGGGCTGCTCCCGAGGACATCAAGGTGAAGGAAGAGGAGCCTGAGCTGCTGGCAGAGGAATCCACCCCCTCTCCCGGCTCAGAGATCCAGAAGTGTCCCAAAAACGAGCTGGTGAAAGCCAAGATGAAGAAGAAGCCGAACCGGTGCGAGGCCAGCAACCTCCTGATGGGCAACTGCCGGCGCGGGTACGTGCGGGAATGGTCCCACCCCTGCACGGAGTGCGGGAAGCGCTTCCGCCTCAAGATCAACCTCATCATCCACCAGCGCAGCCACGCCAAGGAGGGGCCCTACGAGTGCCCCGTCTGCGAGATCGGCTTCAGCACCAAGCGGCACCTGGACCTTCACCGCGGCATCCACGTCAAGGACAGAGCCTTCGGCGCCAAGGTCTGGGGCAACGTGCACCCCGAGCTGCGCATCCGCCCACGCAGGGACCTGTGCGGCACCGGCCACGCCGCGGGGGCCTGGCTGGGCCAGCCCAAGGAGGAGCCCGACAGAGAGGGCCTGGCGGGCTCCGGGATCGTGCAGCCGCCCAACCCCAGGCAGAAGTGCCCCCTCTGCAAGAAGTTCCTGTCCTGCTCCACGTCCATGCGGCGGCACCTGAAGACCCACGCGCGGGACCGGCCCTACTGCTGCAGCTCCTGCAACAAGTGCTTCACCCGCAGCAATCACCTGCTGCGCCACAAGAAGATCCACGAGAGGGCTCTGGCCGTGCTCCAGCGGGAGGCCAAGGCCCAGCCCCCTGCTGCTATCCCGGCATCCCTGCAGCACCAAGCTCCCGAGGCCCAGAGGAGCCCTTCCCGAGAGAATGGGAGCCCTGAGGCTGCAAAAGCGAGCCTGCCCAATGTGCTGCTCTTGGGGACAACGCCACTGGGGCTCCCGGGCAAAGGCTCCCCGCTCCCTGACTGCATCAGGAAAGCCGTGCAGCCCGTGGTCCAGCTGGGATCCAGGGCAGTGGCTTCAGAGATGACAGAGAAATGACAGATGACAGACCCTGGGACAGATCTGAGCTGTGCGTGTCCCTGGAAGGAAACTGCGAGTTTGTTGGGTTTGCACCTGGTGGGACACCAAAAATGGGAATCTGCTGTTTTTTAGGAGCTTCCTGGGTTGTAGAAAGAATGGGAAGCTTGGAGACCACAACAGAGAGCAAATTGCAGAAGCCTCCAGTGATCCATAATGCTTCACCATTCCACTGACTTGGTCCTGTTGGCTGTTACTTGGAATTTTCCCAAGCTGACATTCCTGGGAGATAAGTAGGTGAATCCTGGTCAAACAGGAGCAGAACTTTCACATTCTGATGTTGGAGCTGACCCCTTGCATTGGGAAACACAACTGGAGAGGGCAGGGAGAATGGAATGGAGCTGGCAGCATTCCCATGCAGCCCTTTGCTCCATGGAACAAGTGTCCTGACTGAGATACCAGATGGAGAGTGACATCGCTGAGACCCCACCACATCCTGGCCACCCTGGGGAGAAGATCAGCCAACAGCCCCTCCAGCAGGTTGGGAACACTGGAGCTTTGCACTGGAAGATCCATAGGACAAACCAAACCCCAATATTCTGTGCTGGCATATTCCAGGGGCGCCAGCAGGTCCACGAGGAAGGCCACAGGCACCCTCAGGACCATCCTGCACGGGTGCAGAGTGATTTTAGGAATACTTGACAGCCCAGCAGCCAGCCCCATGCTGCAGCAGCACCCTAATCCCTGTGGATCTGCCTGCACTGAGCAGCCCTTCAGCTCTGGAGGAAACTCCCACTCTCCCAACCACAGCTCGTCCTCTTTTGCCCAAAATCCCACCTTAATGAATCCTATGGGAAAACAGTTCTGCAGCTACCTCAGTCAGGGAGAGGGGACCTGCCCGGAGGCAGCCAGTGGAAGCCAGGCCTGGCACTGCCCCAGTGTCCCCTGGAGCCACCAGAGTAGTGTCCATGGCCAGAGCCCCACGTGCTGGGTGTGCACAGGGAGCACCTCCCGCCCGGAGCCAGCGCCACACGGACACAGTGGAGCAGCTGTTGGGACTCCTGCATTTCGTTTTTCAGGTTGTTGTTTGTTGTTTTTTTTTGAGCTGTTTGATGTAACAAACATCCTGAGATCTCTGTCCCTCTCTGAGCAGTGAGCACTGGAAGGCTTTTCCCATCTTTCATTCCGAGTCACTCCCAAGGTGTGATGGTGCTGCTGTGGGAAGCTTTGGGAGCTGAGGGAACACCTGTGCCACATCCAGGTGTGATCCTCAGCCACCTCCTGCTCCATGGGACAGACAGCAGCGTCTGAGCTGCTCCATAGAATACACACGACATCCCACTGCTCCTCTGGGCTGGTCTCACACTTCCTGCCCCTGGGATTGCAGTGTGGAGCATTCCCAGCCTGCAGCAGGAGCTGGGAGGGGTGCCAGTGGCAGACACATGACCATGGATCTGGCAGTGAGCCAGTGGCTGGTTATCCCTGTTATCCCAGCCCAGCAGAGATCCAGTGCTCCCCAGTTGATCCCAGGGGCATGGCTGAGCTGGTGTGTCAGTGCTGAAGGCCAGCAGAAGGGCCTGGCAGCCCAGCCTGGCATTTCTAAATCTGCTGTGACCGGGAGCAGTTTCCTGCGACATTCCCGATCCCTTTCTCAGGCTGTGGAATCAATAAAGTTACTTGTCTCTATGTCTGGCTGCTTTGGGGGCTGTGCTGGTGCCTGTGGGCACAGAACTGGGATCAGCCAGGACAGCTCTCAGCAGGAGGGTTTTGGGAGTCACTGCCAGCAGCTCCAGAGCCCCCAGGCCACTGGGAGAGTTGTGGAATGCCAGGAAGGAAGCAGGGAAGGGCAGGGGATGGAGTGGCCCTGGCCACCATGGGCAGGACATGTCCCTCAGCACTCCCAGGGAGTCCCACAGTGCCCACAGATCCTACTGAGAATCCTGTGGGGGATTCCTGTGTGACTGTTCCACATTACCAGCAGGTAGCTCTGCATTCCTCCCCTGATGGCCCCATCTCTATTGAGCCAGGGATGTCACCCCCCAGCTGCCCCGGAGCACAACAGGAGAACAGTCAGCTCAGTCTTTTATCTGATTCTCTTCCCGGGCTGGTCCGGCCGCCCAGCCCCCAGAGCCTTCCCGGGGCTATCAGCTGCCCCCAGGCCGCTGACCACTCCCAGCCCCCCTCCCTGCACAGTGGTGGAGTTCAAACAACCCGAGTTCCACCCCGGGATCTGACAGAGCCGCTCCTCTGCTGAATCCACGGGGCAGCGGCACCGCCGGGTCAGCTCCAGTCACTGACCCTCCTCTGCTGCCCCGGGGCCAGTCCCATCCCACCCTGGGCCCTTCCCTGCCGAACAGCACAGCAGGCTCCCTCCTTCTGAGACCCAGGTGCTGCCACGAGTCCCACAGCATCAGCACAGCAGGCTCCCTCCTCCTCCTCCTCCTCCTCCTGCTCCTCTTCCCGAAACCCACGTGCTGCCCACGCGAGTCCCACAGCACCGTGCACAAACTCCCGGTGCTGCCACAAGTCCCAGCTGCCCGGCGTGTCCCCCGCTGAAGAACCGCTGTCCCTTCCCTTCTCCATCCCTCTGGCTACCGATTGTCCTGGCTCAGAGCCTCGCAGGGCTCCAGCTCCGGCTCGTGTCCCGGCAAGCTGCCGGCCGGAGAGGCGGCCACGGCGTGCACCTTCTGGTGGTGGTTCAGCGACTGCCGGTGCCGGAAGCTCTTGGTGCAGCCGTGGCACTGGAAGGGGCGCTGCTGGGTGTGCCGCCGCTGGTGCTCCTCCAGCGACGCTTTCTGGGGGAAGCTCTCGGCGCACTCGATGCAGCGGTAGAGCCGCTCCCCGGCGGCGCCGCCGCCCCGCGCCGGCCGGCCCGGCCAAGCGCTGCGGAGCTGCGGGCCGTGGATGCGCTGGTGCTTCTGCAGGTGGTGCTTCTGCACGAAGCCCTTGCCGCAGGCGGGGCAGCGGTACGGCCGCTCGCCGGTGTGGATCCGGTAGTGCTTGTTGAGGTTGGACTTCTCGTTGAAGCTCTTTCCGCAGGCCGGGCACTGGAAGGGCCGCTCGCCCGTGTGCAGGCGCTGGTGCCGCAGCAGCGCGGCGTGGTGCGCCAGGCTCTTCCCGCAGGACGTGCAGATGAAGGAGCCGTTGCTCTTCCTCTCCCGGCTCTGCTGCCGAGCCAGGAGGTTCCGCGTCAGCCGGACGCTCTTCCAGCCCGGCGGCAGCGCCCGGGGGTCGTCCTGGGCACTCTGCTGCTCCCAGCCGGGCTGCGGCGACGCCACCTCGGCCGCGGGGTCTTCTCCCAGCGGCATTCCCTGGGCCAGCGCGAACGGCTGCTCCGTGCCCGCGCCCAGGGCGTGCTCCGCGGGGAAGGGCAGCCCCGGGGCAGGGTGGGCCTCCACCGGCACCACCACCGGCTTGAATTCCCCCAGGCAGAATTCCCCCAGGCCCTCCCCGGCCGCCTTGGGCCCGGCCACGCCGTGGCTCTCCCAGGACACCGGCTGCTCCTGGCTGAGGGGAACCTCCTCGTCCAGCCTGACCGCGGGCACCATCGGCAGTGCCAGGAGCTCGGCTCCGTCCTCCTGCGGCTGCTGCTCTTCTGTCTTGATCACGATCATCTCACCTGTGGAGACACCGCAGCTCATTCCCGGGAAGGGAAGGCCTCCCGTGCCTGCAGCTCCAGAGTGGGGGCGGGAGCAGAGGTGAGAGGAACTGGCAAAGAAAGAAAGGGAGCAGGAAGGGATTCCCAGGAGGAGATGAGGTGAAGGGGGGCTGTCCAGGCAGCTTGTGGGACCTCAGGGACACTATGGAATCACGGAATTAGTGAGGTTTGCAATGCCCTTCAAGATCATCAAGTCCAATCATCAACCAAGCACTGCCAAGGCCACCACTGTCCTGTGTCCCCAACTGCCACATCCACACAGCTTTTAAATCCTTCCAGGAATGGAGACTCCACCAGTGCCCTGGGCATGCTGAACTCAATGAACTATGGACTGACAATACAATCCTCGCAAAAAAACCAAACCAGAGGGAATGTGAAGGCAAAGCTGAGGTGCAGAGTCCTCCATCCTGGAGAGAACCCCATCAGGAGTGGCAGAGTTTAAGTGTGTGAATCCAGGGAAAAGGATCAAAGCAAAGCCTCCCCAAAGCAGGAGGGAACATCCACCCACAGGTACCAGGCTCCAGAACCACCCTCACTGAGCCTTGCCCCAGGTTTTCCCATTTTCCATCCTTAAGAACGCTGCCCAGTCTGGGCAGGTTGTCAGTGCCCACCCTCAGTCCCCTTCACTGTCACTCACTGTCACCAAGCTGTCCTGGCACCGCTCCCTTCTCCAGCAGCCTGGGGCTCCCTGGATCCTCCCTGTCCTCAGCTGGTGGCAGCAGTGCAGGTTTGGAACCAGCATCCTCAGGCCCTGGGAAGGAGGGAGCAATGGGATGAACTGCTGACAGTGGGGACCACCCAAAGCCGGTCCTGGAATTCCAGGACATCTGATCACACGGGCCACTGGCAGCCAAACCAAGCACGGGATTTTTGCTTATCCCAGGAAGTGTCTGACGGACACTCAAGCTCTAAAAATTCAGCCCAAAATTAACGAGTACTAAAACATAGGACTCTCCGCAGCAAATCCCTGCAGGGTGATCCATGTACAGCCCATATCCCAGGAAAAAACCGTGCAGGAACACCGGCTGCAGGACATGGCACCTGGAATCCCCCCATGTTCCACGTGGGGAAGGTTTGGAAGCTGCATCAGCCCAGGGATGAAGATGTTTCCGACATGATCTGAGTGATCCTCACCGAGAGGGACCATGGCTTCATAGTTCCCCTTCCTGGCGATCCCACGGAGCTCCCGGCTGCCCACGCTGCTCCCCAGCTCCTGCTCCGGCAGAGCGGCCTCCTCACCCTCGCCCGCCGCTGGCACCTGGAAGTACAGGAGGCTCCACCTGGGGGTCCCCACTGAGCCCCTCCCGAGCCCCTGGGGGTCAGGAGCTCCTATGGACAGAGCCATGTCTGGGGGGACATCCCCAGACATCCCAGCAAGGCTCAGCTGTTCCTCCCCAGACCGGGGGCAGATTCCCAGGATCCATCCTGGCAGCAGGTGAACAGTGACCCCTCAGGTGGGAGCAGGACAGTGGCATCATCCTACATCACCCCAGTAGGGCCCTGAAATGTGACTGAAACACTTGGGGCGGGTATTCTGGTCCCCCTCTTCCCTGGGGACAGGGACAAGCACCAGACAAGCCGTGTCCATCTGGCTCTGAGCAGCTCCTGAGAGCCAGCAGCCCTTCCCATGGCCACATGGTCACCTGGGGCACTTTCCCACTGCTTTGGGCACATCTCTGTTACCTGTGGCCTGTCCCTATCACACTGAGCACATTCCTGAGAGCTGGGACACATCCCTGTCCATCTTAGGCACATTACCATTAGCTGGCACTTGTCCCCGTTTGTCACCGCTGGCATGTCCCCGTTATGTGGGGCTTGTCCACCTCAGCTGGGGCTTTTCCCCATTACCTACACCCCATCCCTGTCACTGAGGGCAAATCCCTGTTCCCTGGGACTCATCCTCATTACCACGGGCTCATCCCCATCCCGTTACCCAGAACTTGTCCCTGCCACCGCTGGCATGTCCCCGTCCCCATCCCTCAGAGCTTGTCCCCGTCCCCGTGGGCTCAGCCCGATCCCCATTCCCCGGTGCCCGTTCCTTTCCTCATTCCCTGTGGCTGGTTCCCGTTCCCCGGGTCGCATCCCCGTCCTTCCCCGGGCCCACCGTGCCCCCGTGCGGGCCCGTCCCGGTTCCCTGGGCCCCGACCCTGTGGCGGTTACCTGTGTCCGCTCCCGGGCGGTCCCGGTGCCGGCGCGGTTTCCCCCGCAGCGGCAGCGGCGGAGCTGGCGCTGGATGCGGCGGAGGCGGCGGGAGTTGTCCCTGAGGAGCGCGGCCAGCCGGGCCCCGCCGGCCCGCACCGTGCGCTCCAGCCCCGCCACGCGCCGCTCCAGCCGCTCCAGCCGCCGCTCCGCCGCCTCCACGCTCCGCTCCAGCCGCCGCTCCGCCACCGCCACCGCCCGCAGCGACAGCCCCGCCGGGGCCGCCCCGCCGGGGCCCGCGCCGGGATCGGGGCCCGCGCCCTGCCAGGCCTCGGGCGCCCACTCGGGCTCCTGCTGCGGGGGGAAGAGGGCGGTGAGGGGCGGCCGGGCCCGGGGTCCTGCCGGGGGTGCGGGGGTGCCGGTGCCGGGGGGTCGTGCCGGTACCTGCGCGCGGCCCCACTGGGCCATGGCCGCCCCTCGCCGCCGCCGCCGCAGCGCCCCCTGCCGGCCCCGCGCCGCCCGCGCCGCCCCGCCCGCGGCCGCCGCACCGAGAGACCCCGGCCCGGCCCCGTTACAGCCCCAGCCCATCCACAGCCCCATCCCATCCCATCCCACCCCATCCCACCCCATCTCATCGACAGCCCGACCCCACACTATCCCCATCCCATCCCATCCCACCCCATCCCATCGACAGCCCGACCCCACTCTATCCCCATCCCATTCCATCCCATCCCATCCCAGGACGAGTCAGGCTGGAAGGGACCACAGTGGCTCATCTGGTCTCACCTCCCTGCTCGGTCAGGGTTATCCCAGAGCACATGGCACAGGATTGTCTCCAGACCATTCTGGAATATCTGGTGATGTTCCAGTGAGGGAGGCTCCACACCCTCTCTGGAGAATCTGTTCCAGGGTTCAGTTGCTGCACAGGGTAGAAGTTCTTCCTCCTGTCCAGGTGGAACTTCCTGAGCATCAGTTTCCTGCCTGTTCCTCTTGTCCTGTTGCCCGGTCCCACAGCAAAGAGCCATCTCTATCAGTCCCATCCCATCCTATCTCCATCCCCATCCTGGTTTCTATCACATCCACATCCCCATCCACCCCCATTCCATCCATCCATCCATCCATCCATCCATCCATCCATCCATCCATCCATCCATCCATCCATCCATCCATCCATCCATCCATATCCTCTCTCATCCCCATCCCACCCTACCCCTATTCCATTCTCATCCCATCCATCCCCACCTGTGCATGAGGACCACAGCTCCAGCCCTCAAATCCCCAGTGCCCAGCAACCCCCAGTGCCATTCCCAGAGGCCCATCCAGACCCCCAATCCCATCCCACCCCATCTCACACTGGGACTGCAGCCCCCCAGCAGCAGCTGACACCCCCCACCCAGTGTTCCATTCTCACTCTCCCATCACTCCATCCCCCCACAGGTCCCATTCCTGGTGCCACCCACCCAGCCAGACCTGGCAGGACCCTCCCAGAACCCCCTCAAGGAATCCACGTGAAGCATCCTGGTTTCTACAGCATCTATTGGCACTCTCCAGAAAAGGGACCCACTCCCAGCATCCCACCCGCCCCACCAGGTCTTGGGAACAAGGAGCCCCCTCAGATGGGCTAGGCAGGTATCTCCTGTCCCCACACCAGGACAGGGGAGCCAGAAAATGTTGTCCATGTTCCAGCCTTCATTTGGAGAGGGATAGAGGGGAGAAGGTCTGACAGTGGCCTCCAGTCCCCAGGAGATCACTTCAAAATCCAGCAGCAGCATTGCATCCCTGGGGGTCACTTCAAGATCCAGTAGCACCATCCTGTTCTTGGGAGGTCACCTCAAGGTTCAACAGCAGCATCTTATTCCTGGGAATTCCTCAAAATTCATCACGTATCCCATTCCTGAGAGGACACCTTAATGCCCACCAGCAGCAGCATCCCATTCTTCACCTCAAGATCAGACAGCAGCCTCCTATCCTAGGAGACAACTTAAAGTCCATCAGCAGCACCCTGTGTCCGGGACGTCACCTCCAAGTCCATCAGCAGCATCATGGGAGGTCACCTCAAGCCTCTCAGAGGTCACCTCAAATTTCAGCAGCAGCTTCCCACCCCTGGCTGTACACCCTGAGATCCAACAGTGGCCTCCCATTCCGGGAGGACACCTCAAGGTCCCACAGCAGCGCCCCATCCCTGGGGGGTCACAGCCTGGCTTCCCACCCCGTCTCCTGCCGCGGGTGTCGCCACGACGGGCCCCGGGTTGGCGCAGGTGAACGGCCGCTCCTGCCGCCTGTGGATCCTCTGGTGCGCCTTGAGGTGGGAGAACCTCTTGAAGGTCTTCTGGCAGATGCCACACTGGTGGGGCCGGACGCCCATGTGCATCCAGTGCTGCCGGACAAAGTCCGAGACCCAGGTGAAGCTGCGGTTGCAGCAGGGACACAGGATGAGGTGGTGGCCGGAGTGCCGGCGCTGGTGCACCGTCAGGAAGACCTGGTTGGAGAAGGTTTCCCGGCACTCGGTGCATGTGTACATCACTTTTCCAGGTGGCAGCGAGCACCTGGCAGGGCCGGGCTCCTGCCACACCGTGCCACAGTCCCTGCTCGGGGCTTGTGGCTGGGAGGACGGGCACAGGGTCTGGCTGGGACACTCCTCCGGCTTCGAGGCCTGGCAGGTCCCATTGGGTGCCCAGGTTTGGGGCTGGGATGTTGGGCACTGGGATGCCGGGCATGGCCCCTGGCTGGGACACGCCTTTGCATCCAAGGGCTGGCAGGTGCCATTGGGTGCCCAGGCTTGGGCCTGGGATGTTGGGCATGGTGTCCCTTGGCTGGGACATGCCTTTGCATCCAAGGGCTGGCAGGTGCCATTGGGTGCCCATGCTTGAGGCTGGGATGTTGGGCACGGTGTCCCTTGGCTGGGACATGCCTTTGCATCCAAGGGCTGGCAGGTGCCATTGGGTGCCCATGCTTGAGGCTGGGATGTTGGGCACGGTGTCCCTTGGCTGGGACATGGATTTGCATCCAAGGGCTGGCAGGTGCCATTGGGTGCCCACTCTTGGGCCTGGGATGTTGGGCATGGTGTCCCTTGGCTGGGACACGCCTTTGCATCCAAGGGCTGGCAGGTGCCATTGGGTGCCCAGGTTTGGGGCTGGGATGTTGGGCATGGTGTCCCTTGGCTGGGACACGCCTTTGCATCCAAGGGCTGGCAGGTGCCATTGGGTGCCCAGGTTTGGGGCTGGGATGTTGGGCATGGTGTCCCTTGGCTGGGACATGCATTTGCATCCAGGGGCTGGCAGGTGCCATTGGGTGCCCAGGTTTGGGGCTGGGATGTTGGGCATGGTGTCTCTTGGCTGGGACATGGATTTGCATCCAAGGGCTGGCAGGCGCCATTGGGTGCCCAGGTTTGGGGCTGGGATGTTGGGAATGGTGTCCCTTGGCTGGGACATGGATTTGCATCCAAGGGCTGGCAGGCGCCATTGGGTGCCCAGGTTTGGGGCTGGGATGTTGGGCATGGTGTCCCTTGGCTGGGACATGGATTTGTATCCAAGGGCTGGCAGGCGCCATTGGGTGCCCACTCTTGGGGCTGGGATGTTGGGAATGGTGTCCCTTGGCTGGGACACGCCTTTGCATCCAAGGGCTGGCAGGCGCCATTGGGTGCCCACTCTTGGGGCTGGGATGTTGGGAATGGTGTCCCTTGGCTGGGACACGCCTTTGCATCCAAGGGCTGGCAGGCACCATTGGGTGCCCAAGCTTGGGGCTGGGATGTTTGGCATGGTGTCCTACTGGGACACTCCTCTGGCTTTGAGGCCTGGTACGTCCCATTAGCTGCCCAGGTTTGGGGATGGGGTGCTGGGAATGGCACCTGGCTGGGACACACCTCCAGCTCCGAGGGCTGGCACGTCCCGTTGGCTGCCCAGGCGCGGAGGTGCCGCCTGATTTTCTTCTTGGACATGAACTTGCGGTCGCAGTGGACGCAGACATAGGGCACCCAGTTGGTGTGGCCACGCTGGTGGATCAGGAGGTTGATCTTCAGCAGGAAGGTTTTCCTGCAGATGGGGCAGGAGTAAAATTCCCGGGCGGAATTTCGCTGCCAGGCCATGGGCCGGCCCACGCAGGAGTCCTTCTCTGGCTCCCTTGGGCTGGGATCTGCCTGTTCTGTCATTTTGTGGATATCTGGGGTCACCTCCTTTCCTGGTTCTTCAGGAATGTTGGCCACCAGATCTTGACCAGTATTCCCTGAATCTTTCACAGCCTCCTCTTCCTGACCCTTGTCCTCTTCCAGACCCTTAGAGGGTGTTTTGGGCATTGATGGCTTCTCTGCAGCAACCTCCTCCTGTGGCACCTCCATTGGGATCCCCACTTCAGCATCTCCTGGGAATTTTTTGGAATCCAAACATCACTTTCCACATGGTTTTAAGGCATGAACAGCAAAGGGCTTTGCTCCCACCCTCCCTCCCTCACTTCCCGCCCTGTTCCCAGCTAGCACAAATCGCAGTCCCACTCTCCTCTTCCAGCTCAGTCTCTGGACTGTGTAAAAGCCAGGAACAGCCACAGCTGATCCCAGGAGACACCCCAGGAACAGTTTGAGGTGGAAAACATCACCCAGGGAGACAGGGGACTCTGACAACCACCCCGGGGCTTGTCTGGGCAGGTGCCCCAATGCCACGCCGTATCCCAAACAGTTTCAGGGCTGGTAACAGGATTTGCTTCCCTTTCCTGGAAGCCCCAAGCCTGGAGAGAGGCCCAATAGACACCCCCAAGCTGCTGGCTCCACCAAGGAGGGCTAAGGGTTCTGCCCCAGTACCTGCTGCAGGGGGAGAACAGTTCTGACCCACGGCTTCCTGACAGTGCACGGAGAGCGGGCGGGAAGGGGACGGGGTTGGCTGGCTGAGATCCGCCAGGACAGCGGTGGCTTCCAGAGGGACGGGTGCTGTGAGGGCAAGAGCAGTGATAAAGGTGGGTAAGGAACAGCCAGGCAGGGGGCCAGGACCCCTCACAGCAGCAGCAGCAGCAGGATTTGCCAGGCACTCACGTGTGCTGCAGTTCTCTGGGACCGCTGGGCTCCTGCTTTCCTCCATCAGGTTCCCACTCTCCTCTGCTTGGTTCCCACTTTCCTTTGCAGGGCTCCTGTTTTCCTCTGCTGGGCTCCTGTTTCCTTCTGCTGGGCTCCTGTTTTCCTCTGCTGGGCTCCTGTTTTCCTCTGCTGGGCTCCTGTTTCCTTCTGCTTGGCTCCTGTTTTTCTCTGTCACATCCCAGATTTCTTTTATCAGGTTCCCACTTATCTCCATTAGGCTCCAGCTTTCCTTGACCAGGTTCTCGCTTTCCTCCACCAGGTTCTCACTTTCCTCCACCAGGTTCTCGCTTTTCTCTGCCACATTCCCACTTTCCTCTGGCTCCCTGCAGCCCCTCTCCATTGTCTCTGTCTCCAGCAGTGCATCATTGCTGGTGCAGTTCTGTCGGGCTGGCTCTGTGGAGGACAAGGACATTTGGATTCACCAGCATCCAGTGAAAAATCCCATTCCACAGGGTGTCAGGATCCCTCACAGCCAGCAGCCAGGGCAGGGGCTTCCAGGCTATCCACATGTCCCAGCAGGAGTTCCCTCACAGTGCACACCTCCCAATCCCTGGGAGTGTCCCAGGCTGGAAAAGGCTTGGAGCAACCTGCACTAGTGCAAGGTGTCCCTGCCCATGGCAGGGGCTTGGAAAGAGATGAGCTTTAAGATTCCTCTCAACCCAAACACAAAATTCTGGGATTCTGGGATTCACAGTCCCAGTGAGCAGCCAGAAGCTCATGGCACAGAAGGAACACAGTGTCACCCACCTACAGCCAGCTCTGGGGACACCTCCGCTGCCTCTGGCTCCGATTCCGGTGGCGTGCTCAGCTCTTCACTTTCCAGCTGCAGTAACAGCTCAGGCTTGGACAGGGCACAGTCTGGGCAAGAGCAGGACAGACATCAGGAACATGATGGGACAGGGACTCTGCACCCACAGCTGGGCAACAGAGCCAGTCCCAACCCAGGAAACTTCATCTCCAACCGCAGCCACGACGGGAGTTATGGATGCAGACAGGAAACAGCAGGCAGAGCTGACAAGGAATATGGAAAACAGCCTCTGACAGTCCCCTGGGAACAACTGCATGAAAACCCATCCTTGATCTGCCACTGCTACAGAATTCCCTGTTCTCCCAGAAATTTACCTTGCAGATAGGAAAATACCCTGAGTGATGGGAAGGGAATTGTGAGGCTCCTGACTGCATGAGGGCAGTGCTGAGGAACCACCTTGAATCCTGGGGGCAGTTCTGGGCCCCCCATGCCAAGGAAGACATTGAGGGGCTGGAGCGTGTCCAGGGAAGAGAACAGACCTGGGGAACAGAGCACCAGGAGCTGGGGGGCTCAGCCTGGAGAAAAGGAGGCTCGGGGGGACCTTCTGGCTCTGCACAGCTCCATGACAGGAGGGTGCAGCCAGGAGGGAATCAGGACCTGCTCCCAGGGAACAGGACAAGAGGAAACAGCTTCAGGAGGAGGGTCAGGTTGGATTGTAGGAAAAATTCTCATGGGAAGGGCTGTCCCAGGCAGAGAATTTTGGAGGTGACAACCCAGGGAGATGATAACACCAACAATGTACCTGTTCTCCACGAGGAAAAGACACCAAGCACTTACTACCCTGTCCTGCGACTCCCTGCCACGCTCCAAACGCTGCCGGAGGGGACAGGGGAAAGGGAGGATTATTTGAGAGCTGGAGATTGCAGCAAAAGGCAAAGAGGCAGAGAAATGACCCCAAGAGAGCTCCCTGGGGCTGCCAAACCGGCGCAAACGCAGCCTACACAGGGACACCAGCATCTCGTAGTTGCCTTCCATGACGCTCCGGTACATTTCCTTCTGTCCCTCGTCCAGGCTTGCCCACTCCTGCCGGCTGAACCGCACTGCCACATCCTCGAACTGCACCGGGACCTGCAGCACCGGCTGGGATGGGGGACAGGGCAGCTACCCCGAGCAACTCCCAGACCCTCAGACCCCCCCAGCCCTTCAATAGCTCCAAAATCCCCATACGGAGACCCCCGTGCTTATTCCCAGTCTCCTAAACCAGCCTGCTCCCGGCAGCCCACTGGATTCATCCCCATCTCCTGGAACCCACCGCAGCTCCCTCAAAGAGCTCCCAGATCCCCAGGAGTCAAACGGATTCATCCCCAGTTTCCTGAAGCCCACTGCTGCCCCCTGAGGAGCCACTCGAGCTGCTCCCGGCCAGCCGGGAATGCACTGGATTCCCATCCCGTCTCCTGAAACCCACCGCAGCCCCCTCAGGAGCCCCCCAAACCGCTCCCAGCCCTCCAGAGCCCCATGGGCGATCCCCAGGCTCCCTCCCAGCCCCAAACCCTCCTTCCAACAGCCCCATAAGCGACCTCCAGCCTCCCCTTCAACCTCCCACCAGCCCCTCAGTGCCCTTCCCAGTCTCACTCCCAACCTCCAGCCCCACAACGACCCCATAAGTGACTCCCCCATCCCACTCCCAGCCCTCCCCGCCCCTCATCACTCCCCTAAGCGCCCTCAGTCTCACCCTCAGCCCCACAAGCCACCCCTCCTCGCCCCCTCCGGGACTCCCCCGGTTCGCCCATCGCGGCTCTCACCCCGTGGAGCTGCAGGGCGGCGAGGGGCAGCTCCCGCAGCGCCGCCTCCGCCCGCTCCATCCGCCGCTCCAGGGCCTCGAGGCGCGCCTGGAGCTCCGCCATGGCCCCGCGCCGCCGCGGCCGGGGCGGCACCGCACGGCACACACCGCCGGAGGGGCGGCACCGAGAGCCAGGAGGGGTGGGTTGGATGGATGGAGGGAGGGATGGGTTAGGAGGGCGGCACCGAGCGCCCGGAGGGGTGGGTTGATTGGATGGATGGGGCGGTGGGATGGGTTGGGAGGGCGCCACCGAGTCCCAGGAGGGGTGGGTGGGTTGGATGGATGGAGGGATGGGTTAGGAGGGCGGCACCGAGCGCCCGGAGGGGTGGGTTAGATGGATGGAGGGATGGGTTAGGAGGGCGGCACCGAGCGCCCGGAGGGGTGGGTGGGTTAGATGGATGGAGAGATGGGTTGGGAGGGCGGCATCGAACGCCCGGAGGGGTGGGTTGGATGAATGCATAGATGGGCAGTGGGATGGGTTGGGAAGTGGCTGAGTGGCAGCTCCCGGAGGGTCGGGGTCGATGGCACGGGGTGTGGCTGCAGGACAGGGCCCTGCTGGGCTCGGTGTTGTTTGCCTGCTTCATCACTGGCCTGGGTGAAGGGGTCGCTGAGGGCTCAAAGCTGGGAGGAGTGGCTGAGCACCCCGAGGGCTGTGTGGCCCTTCCGAGGAACCTCGGCAGGTTGGACACATGGGCACAGAGGAAATGTCTGGAATACAACAAGGGCAAGTGCAGGTGCTGCAGCTGGGGAGGAACAACCCCAGGTACCTGCACAGGCTGGGGGTGACCTGCTGGAGCAGCTCCGTGGGGAAGGAACTGGGGGTCCAGGGTGACAATGAGCTGTCCCTGAGCCAACAGAGTGTGCTGGGGAAAAGAGGCCAATGGGATCCTGGGGTGCATTGGGAAGAGCATTCCCAGCAGTTCAGGGAGGAATCCTGCCCCTGTGCCCAGCCCTGGAGGCACCACTGGGTGCTGTGTCCAGCTCTGGATCCTCAGCACAGCAGGGACAGGAGCTCCTGGAGCCGAGCAAGGGCCTGGAGCATCTCGGTGCCCAGGAAAGGCTGAGGGAGCTGGGCCTGCTCAGCCTGGAGAGGAGCCCAGCTGAGAGGGCCCCTCAGCCCTGGGTGTCCCTGGGTGCAGGGAGGGTCAGAGCAGGGCCAGGCTCTGCTGTGGGGGGCCCAGCAATGGCACCAGAGCCACGGGCAGGGACTGATCCCAGGAATTCTCCCGGCACAGGAGACAGAACTTCTGCCCTGAGCAGTGCCCAGCCCTGAGCAGAGACCAGAGAGGCTGTGGGGTCTCCCTCACCGGGGATATTCCAGACCTGCCGGGATGTAATCCTGAGCCTTGTGCTCCCTGCTGGAGCAGGGAGGTGCCACCAGTGACCCACTGTGGTCCCTTCCATTCAGGAATTCTGGGATTCTGTGTCCTGCGGGGAACGCCGCTGCGGTGGAACCCCGGGGGGGTTTCCTGCCATTCCGATCAGCATCAGCTCCTTCCCGGTGACTGACAGCTGTCAATCACTGCGGGGGCTGCCGGCCGGCGGGGGCCGCTGTGGCGGCGGCGGAAGCGGAGGAGGAAGAGGAAGCGGCGCTTCTTGGCGGCAAGGGAGGGAAAGGCGGCGGCGGGGCAGGGCAGGAGCGGCGGCGGGCAAGGGCCGGTGCGAGCGGAGAGCTCCAGCTCCGCTGCGGGAGGCACGGGAAGGAGCGGGCCGGCCCCGGTGTGCGGCGGCCGAAGCGAGGCTCCCCTGGCCCGCTGTGTGCCTTCGGCAGCCCCGGTGCCGCAGCCGGTCCCTGCGCTCCGCCGCTCCCGGTGCGGGGATGGAGCTGGCGGGCGGCAGCACCATCTCGCTGTGGACCGTGGTGGCGGCCGTGCAGGCGCTGGAGCGCAGCGTGGCCGCACACGCGTCCCGCCTCTTCAGCCTGGAACACCGCGCCGGCAACAGCGAAAAGAAGCACCTGGACTGCGAGAAAATGGTCGGGGAGTTCGGGAACCAGCTGGAGAGCAAGTGCGCGGCGCTGGGCACCCTCGTCCAGGAGTACGGGCGGCTCCAGAAGCGGCTGGAGAACATGGAGAACCTGCTGAAGAACAGGAATCTCTGGATCCTGCGGCTGCCCCCCGGGCTGGAGGCCCCCAAGGTATCGGATGGGTCTTTAGGGGGCCTGGGGGACAGGGACAGCGCAGAGGTTCCTCTGCTCCTCACCTCAGCCTTCCGCCATGGATATCATTCCACGATCTCTGCCAAGATTTCTTCTGTCGCCTGTCGTGCCAAGGCACAAAGCAGGAAGTGATTCTCCTGTGTGTTGTTAGATTCAGCTGGGTTTTCCCTACAGAAGGATGGGCTGTCACTTCTTTACAGTTCTACCCCACTCTGAGGTCCCCAGTGGGATCAGGCTCCAGGGGGAAGTAAGAATATCGTGGAATAATACACAGTTCATCTCCCGAAGTTTAGCAAAGATCCAAAGTGTTACTCTCAGTGTCCAGAGGATGCCCCAAGGCAGGAATTTTCTTTCCCTGACACCTGGCAGCAGGGATAAGTAGGGAGTAGAATTCTCTGTGTTCCAGGAGCGGTGCTGAGTGTCACTTTTGGGATTGCAGGCCCCGGCTGTGGCGTTGGAAAACGATGCCACCGGCTTTTCCACTCAGGAGTGGGAGAACCTGGAGGAGTGGCAGAGGGAGCTGTATGGAAAGGTGCTGACAGGGAAGAGAGAAGCCCTGGTCCTGCTGGGTGAGTGTTGCTGTTGCGTCAGTTATCAGCACCTTCTGGTCAGGGAATCTCTCCCAGACGTGGGAAGCAGATTTGTGGGAACACAGAGAGACCGCTGCCTGTGTTTGAGGACTCTGTGCTGCCCAGACGTGTGTTGTAGCTGCTGGAGCTGGTTTGGGGAGCGCTGCTGGGTGTGTTCCTCCCTGTGGATGCAGCACAGAAACATTAATTCCTTTCTCTGTTCCTTGTCAGACGATGTCATCTCCGAACCTGCCCTCCTGTCCCGGCTCCAGGGAGGAGAAGCACCCTGCAGGGAGGAGGAGGCAGCTCCTGGAGAGATCCCAGCAGAACCAGGTGCAGGCCAGGGATGAATTAAAGCTTTAATCCTGAGGGTGAGGGTCGTGTGGTGCTGTCACCACACAGAGGCTGGCACAAGGTGGTGGTCCTGGTTTGCTTGGAGGGAACTTCTCGGATCTCAAAAGGAGCAGGTTCAGGGGGAGTAACAGAGGGTGATAAAAAGTATAACAGGTTTGATTTTTAGGATTACAAGTCAGGAAGAAATTCTTGGCTGTGAGGATGGTGAGGCCCTGGCACAGATTGCCCTGTGGCTGCCCCTGGATCCCTGGAAGTGTCCAAGGCCAGGTTGGACAGGGCTTGGAGCAATCTGGGATAGTGGAAGGTGTCCCTGTCCATGGCAGAGGGTGGAACAAGTTTAACCCAGACCCTTCTGGGGTTCTGTGATCTGATTCCATGATTTCTGGCATTGGCAGAGGCTCTGCTGTTTGAACTCAATGTGAGCAGCTGGGACAGCAGAGAAGCACAGGCAAACCAGGAGGGAAGAGCAGGGCTGGCTGAACCTGGCCATGGTGAGTGCTGTGGAAGGGCCTGGGCTCGAGGGTGTGGAGAACCCTCTGGAACTGGGGGAACAGGGGGAACCACTTCCTTGCAGGGCAGAGCAGAGCTCCCAGGAGCAGGAATGGAAGGTGCTGGAGGGGCTGTGTGTGGCAGCAGGGTGGGTGAGTGGGCACAAACTTCTGGGGCAGCAAGAGAGGAGTCCAGTGGGGCTGTGATAGCCACTAAAGGAGTCTCCTCTTTCCCAGTAAAGCAGTTTCCTCTTTTCCTCAGCAGACAGCAGCATTCCAGAGCGGAGCTTTGCTGTCACCGTGAAGCAGGAAGAGGAGGAAGAGCCACATGCAAAGGAGCAGGGAGCCATGGAGGGTGTGGAGTGCTCTGAGCTTGGTGTGGGTGAGTTTGGATGTGGGAATCCCTGACATTCCTGCTGTGGGACAGTGTGCTGGGATGTGGGGGCTGAGGGGAGGCACTGGGAGAGAGCAGGAGCCATGCTCAGGTGGGGAGTGAGCAGGAAACTTGGGGAGAGATTTATTTTTGGGAAGGTGAAAGAGCTGGGAGGATGAGGCACTGTAGGTGAGGATTCTGGCACACCTGGAATGGATCCCTCAGAATATGAGGAATCATTAAGTTGCGAACAATTCAGGGCAGGGAGCTTGTTTCTGTCTATTTGAAAAATGCTGATTAAATTTGCAGCAGTAAAGACTTGATTCTTAATAAAAACAACATTAAGCCTGTGAAGTTCTAAATGCTTTCTTTCTATCTTTTTTTTTATTTTTCACATCATTTTACTTGCTGTAAATGGTAGTTTGTAGTTTTGTACCTTATTGATGGAGAGACAGAAGTTGACCTCAAATCAAAAAAAAAAAAACCCTGGTGTTCAATTGTTTTTAATTGTTTTTCAATACTGTGGTGGAACCTGAGCAGGAGAATGGTTCTCCACGTGTGTATCCAAGATCCAAACAGGCCTGAAGTGTAAAAATGTCTAAAAATAGGGTGTAAATAAGCTCACAATACAATTCTCACCCAGATCACGTCAATGCTGCAGCCAGTAAAACATTTTCAGTTTTGTGGTTGTGATGGGTTGAGTCCAGGAAGAGAAAAAATATTTAGTTTGTGTTTTGTTTTGAGTTTTTGCAGATTTTTTATTTCTTGGTGCATTTCACTTGTGTTTTGACAGCAGCTGTTTGTTCTGGAACAGGAGTTCAGGGGGGTTGTTGCCCTCCAGAGTCCCTGTGAGTGCTGTCACAAGAGTGGTAGAATATTGACATTTACAGAGAAATTTAGACCCAAATATGGAGGGTGGAGAAGAAAGAACTTGAAAATAAACAGAACTAACAAATCAAAACACCTAAATAATAATGACCTCATTATTATTTAGGTCACACAGAAATCAGTTTCCCATGGAAAAGTTTATGCTTTCTGGTTCAGCATAAAATTTGGGGTTTCAGTCAAAATGCTCAGTTGTGAAGAGCATTTTTAGCTTGCTCTTATCCAAGAATCCATGGGTTCTGTGGACTGTCAATTGATTTGAATGGAGTTTTTCCCTCCCGAGGAAATCCATGAAATCAACAGTTCATCTCACATAAAAATGTCATGGAGATATCAAACCTCTTGACTCACTGGTGTCATAGCAATGGAGCTGTTGGGGTTCTTGCTGCATTTCATCTCCTGTGGATTTAATTGTTGGAGACAGAAACCAACTTCCAGTCACAATCTGCTCGGTCAGATCTCACTCAGGAACAAATGAGTTTAGAACTCTCCCTAAAATTTTTGTTTAGTACAGAAGGAGGGAAAATTACACTCTGTGTTTTGGTCCAGTTAGAACTTGGATTAAAACATTTTATATCTTTATTTCTTAAAATACACTTAGTGCCCTAAATTGCCGGATAATATTGAGGCAAAGGCTTCCTGCTGGCAGAGGGCTGGGTTAGGTGGGTTACTGGGAAGGAATTCCTGGCTGAGGGTGGGCAGGCCCTGGCACAGGGTGCCCAGAGAAGCTCTGGCTGCCCCTGGATCCCTGGAAGTGTTCAAGGAAAAGTTGGACAGGGTTTGGAGCAGCCTGGGATAGTAGAAGGTGTCCCTGCCCGTGGCAGGGAGTGGCACTGGATGAGCTTTAAGGTCCCACCCAAACCATTCCAGGATTCCATAAGAGCAGGATGTATTCTGGCATAAAGATGGAAAGTGGTGGCCCTTTGAAGCAGTGGAAGGACATTTGTGATTCCCTTGTGACCAGAATATCCTGAGTTCTGTTTGGGATCATCTCAGCAGCACTCCTGGATTATTCTGCAAACAACCTGAGGTGCCCTTTCTGGGCTGTTTCTGTATTTTACATGCTCCATGTTTCATAACTTTTTGAAGCTGCCTTTGATATCAGAGGTGATGCAATATTTTACAGTCAGTCACAGTTTCTCTGTTCCAGCCCATCTCTCCTGAATTTCAGAGACAAATACATGTATTTGTAGCAAATCTCTGAGCTATTTTGGGATTTGTGTTGTTTGAATTGCAAAATGGAATCCTGAATTCTAGACAAAATGTGAAGTGACACAGAAAGGGACACTTCAGTGCTGTGAGGAGACCCAGTTCCCTCATGGCTCTGAGAGGATCCTCAATCCTTCATAGCTCTGAGAGGATCCCCAAGCCCCTCACAGCTCAGATGGGACCCTGATTTCTCACAGCTCTAAGTGGGACCCTGACCACTCATGGCTCCTGAGTGGATCCCTGACCCCTCATGGCTCTGAGGACTTTGTTTCATCATGGCTCTGGGTGAAGCCCCGATCCCTCACTGCTCTGAGGGAATTGGCCCTCATGGATTAGAGGGGACCTTGTTTCCTTCAAGGCTCTGGGTGAACCCTGATCCCTCATGGCTCTGAGGACCCTGTCCCCTCATGGCTCTGGGTGGAACCCCAATCTCTCACAGCTCTGAGGGAGGATCCCGTTCCCTCATGGCTCTGAGGATCCTGTCCCCTTATGGCTCTGGGTAGACCCTAATAATCCCTCATGGCTCTGAGGATCCTGTTCTCTCATGGCTCTGGGTGAACCCCAATCCCTCACGGCTCTGAGGGAGGATCCTGTTCCCTCATGGCTCCGGGTGAACCCCAATCCCTCACAGCTCTGAGTGGGATCCTGTTCCCTCATGGCTCCAGGTGAACCCCAATCCCTCACAGCTCTGAGCGGGATCCTGTTCTCTCATAGCTCCAGGTGGACCCCAATCCCTCACAGCTCTGAGGGGGGCCCTGTTCCCTCATGGCTCCAGGTGAACCCCAATCCCTCACAGCTCTGAGCGGGATCCTGTTCCCTCATGGCTCCAGGTGAACCCCAATCCCTCACAGCTCTGAGCGGGATCCTGTTCTCTCATAGCTCCAGGTGGACCCCAATCCCTCACAGCTCTGAGGGGGGCCCTGTTCCCTCATGGCTCCTGGTGAACCCCAATCCCTCACAGCTCTGAGTGGGATCCTGTTCCCTCATGGCTCCGGGTAAACCCCAATCCCTCACGGCTCTGAGGGGGGCCCTGTTCCCTCATGGAGTGCTGTGGACAAGATGCAGTAAGGGTGGCCGGGGTCATGGCCGTGGCAAAGGAGCCCCATGGTGCCCCTGGCCGCCCCTCAGCCACCATTCCCCACAGGGCCGGACGCCACTGGACACAGGGCCCAGGCCCTGGAGGAGGGCGGGAACCGGCCAGGGGCCAGGAGCTGCCAGGACCGGGATGTGAGAGGGAATCCCACAGAGACCAGCTCCGGTGAGTGGTGTCAGGGCAATGGTGGGAGAGGGATGTGGGACAATGAGCACCTGCCAGGAGCTGGGGACATCTGAGGTGTGGGTGGTGTTTTGGCCTGGAGAAAAGGGGGCTCAGGGGGGACCTTGTGGCTCTGCACAGCTCCTGACAGGAGGGCACAGCCGGGGGGGTCGGGCTCTGCTCCAGGGCACAGGGACAGGAGGAGAGGGAACGGCCTCAGGCTGGGCCAGGGCAGGCTCAGAGTGGATACTGGGAAAATTCCTTACCCAAATAGTCTGTCCACAGCTGCCCAGGGCAGTGGTTGGGTCCCCATTGCTGGAGGGATTTAAAATCCCTGTGGATGTGGCACCTGGGGACATGGTCAGTGGTGGCCTTGGCAGTGGTGTGGGAATGGTTGGACTCGATGACCTTAAAGGGCTCCCAACCTCAACAATTCCACAATTCTATGACCAGCATCTCTCCAAGGCACTTGCTGTGCTGAGTTTGGTCTTCCAGCTGCTGCTGTCAGGCATTCCATCCCCACCAGCCTTTCCAGGACCTTCCATCACTCCCTTCTTTTCCCTCTCCTCGGAAATCCTCCAGTCCCTTGGCCAGGTCTGCGCTGTAAAGGTGCAGAGCACTGGCCCATCTGCTTTTCTTTATTTACTCTACAGACTAATGAATTTCTTTAAGAACTCTGTTCTCATGAGTGTTTCTCTGATGGGTGAGAAGTGGTGTGTGACTGAGAGGCATTGAAAAGGAAACAACAGAACTCTGACAGCACCAAGAGAGAAAGAAACTCAAGGACAAGAATTCAAGTGGCTCTGGCCTCTCCTGGGGCCCTGGAGAACGTGTTTCCACTTGTATGAAGATTTTGTGCGTTTCTCAGGCTCAAAAATCTGCTGAGGGTTTTGTAACCAACATTTCAGGTCTGTTCAAGAGGCCTTGGTCAGCAGGAACTAGAAGTGGAGCGAGGTTTTCTCTGGAATGTGAGCTAGAACAGAGCAGATCTGCCTGGGCTGGGCTGACAGTTGGAATTAATTTTGTATGGTGTTAAAATAACAGTGGCTCTTGTTAACAGAGGACGGCATAATCCAGATTAAGCAAGAGGAAGAGTTGTGCACTGCAGATCGGAAGGAGGAGGCTGCAGAAGCTCCTGGAGAGCCCTGCCCAGGTGAGTAACTGCATACCTCAGAGGGAAAATGAAACAGAGGGATTAAATTCCAGGTTGTGTGAATAAATTCCCCACCTCTGCTCATGTATTCCAAATCTTTAAGAAGTTCTGAGCAGACTTGTCAGCAGATCCCCCAGGTGAGGGCTGGTGTTGCCCCTTTCCCTTCTCACAGACACTTTGGAGTTTGTTGCTGCATGGTTGGTTTTTATCCAAGTGTGGCTCTCCCTAAATTCCTTCAGGTTGCTTTTTCCCTCCTCCCTTCCCTTCTGGGGTTCTCCTGGGTAAGGAGGAGCCCACAGACTTCTCTGAAAGGCTGCAGAGCCCAGGGCCCTGTTCTTTGCCCTCTCACTTGGATCTCTTTGTTTTGCAAATCAGCTGCTCTGCTTTGCAGATTTTCCTCACTCTTTTCAAAGGTAGTGGTGCTTCCTGTTGGCTCCACTAGAACTGTACTTGGCTCCCTGTGTTTGTAGCCAGCTGGGATTTTTAGACCTTTCCAAAGGTTTCCTTAAGAAACTGGGCTTAGAGGAGCTTGGCTTGGGGTAACAACCTCCAAAGAAAGCTCAGACCAGGGCAGGTTTTCAGCCTTGTGAAATCCTGAGTTTAGGCAGGTATGATACACTTCTGAACTTCCTCCCTCAGCAGAGCGAGGATTTTACGAGCCTGAGGCATCCAGTCAGACCAGGAAAGGCAGCGAGGTGGATGCCAGGGAGCTGCCAGGCACAGAGGGTGAGCACCTCCAGAGAGATCCTGCCACAGGTGAGGATCTGCCAAAAACTCCACTGCAGGAATTGCCCCTTAATGGCTCTTCCTGTTGTGCTTTCCCTGCTGCTTTGTTACTGTTGTGCATTCCCAAATTATCCAGGCTTTGTGTCTTCCCCTGGTGTTTCTCAGTTGTGTAAATTCTCCCCAATGAACAGGATTTCAGACTTATGCAAGGGGTGTTTCATCGTGGATTAAACAAGAGGAGCCACCCTGCTCTGAACAACAGGACTTGCAGAAAGAGGAAATCTCTGCAGATCCAAATACAGGTCAGTAATGGATTTCAGCTGGGACTTTGGGGACAGTAAATCCAGTTTAGAGTATTTTTTAGTACTGTGTGAAATGTCACAACCTTGCAATGTTAACCATGAGAGAACTGGGACAAACCTCAGTCTGCTGGTTAATATTTGGTCACAAAAATTTTGGGTTCTGTCAGCTGAAGAGGCTCCTTCCCTCTTGAGCCAGCCAAAAGCTGCCAGAGGCACTGGCTTGGGCTTGTGTTGAGGCAAGCCCAGAGCTGCATGGATCAAGTTTGTGCTGCTTTTATCTGGATAAAAACCTGGCTCAGGGCTGGGCCCACAGTGCTGGGCAAGGGAGTGACATCAGCTGGTGGCCAGTCACCAGTGGTGTCCCCAGGGCTGGGGACATCCTGGGGCCACTGTGTTTGATGTCTTTGTCAGCAGTGTGGATGAGGGGAGGGAGGGCACCCTCAGTCCTTTTTATGGCCAGGATTCCCTGCCCTGAGGACAAGTTTCTCACTTCTCATGCTGTCAGTTCTTCCAGGCATTTCTGGAAATGGTTTGGAGGCTTTGGGGATTTTTGGTGGTCTTGATCCCCATCCCTGTAATCCATTCCCACTTCTTGACCTCATTCCTGCCTTTGCTCTGTGTTGTGCTTGTCTCCAGGAGCTACAAACAAGGGTGTTTGTCCCAGAAATTGCTGCCTTATCTCCACATGGCACCCCCCTCTCCAGCCACATCTTGTTCTTTCTCATGGCTCCACTGGAGGTGGCCATCCAGTTATCAGTGTTTGGGACACACATTCCTTTATTTTCTGGGAACTGGGAGCTCAGTGGGTCTCACTTTGGACTGCAGTTTATAGGGTTGCAGGAGGGTGGGCTTTAATCAGGGATTTTCCATCCTGGCTGCAATTCAAGTCAATGACTTTCTTTGGAAGTTCCATAACAAAAATGTTACTCCACTTGGGTTGTTATTCAGGCAAGACAAATGAGTTCTGAGGCTGTTCACCAAAAAACGGGTGCTTGTTAGACAGCACAAGTTCCTGGGAGCAGAGAGTGCTTCTGATAAGATCAGTATGAGAGGTTTAAGTTGGATATCAGGAAAAGGTTCTTCCCCAGAGGGTGGTTGGGCACTGAACAGGCTCCCCAGGAAATGGGCATGGCCCAAGGCTGCCAGAGCTCAGGGAGCATTTGGACAATGCTGTCAGGCACGGGGTGGGATTGTGGGGGTGTCCATGCATGGCCAGAGATTGGACTCCATCCTTGTGGGTGTCTCCCAGCTCAGGGGATCCCATAGTTCTGTGACTTGCTGAGCTAACTCAGGGCCCTGCTTGGACTCTGCTCCTGGAAATGCTCAGGAGAGTGTCTGGGGAGCAGCTGGGAACACTGAGGTGGGACAGTGTCTGCTCTGTTATCTGGCTGAGAGGCTGAATCTGAGACTGCAGCAGTCATTTTTTATGTAGATTTTAAAAAATACAGTTGAAAAAAAGTCCTTCTACTGGAACTTTTGTTTCAGTGGATGCTGGTACTTCGTTCTTCCCTTAGTATTAAAGATGTGGCTTGGGGCTGGGAGGGACATTCCTAAGGGGACTCCTGAATTAAAAATCTCTGAAATCTCTGTTTCAGATGAAAATTTGAGGAGGGACCATCCAGCAAATTCCTTGGAGAGCAAGACCTGTGACTTAGAGGTACCAGGAAGACCGGTAGAGGTGTTTCCCAAAGATCCCAGCCATGGAGTGACATGGGACAGTCAGTGGAATTCAGAAATGATGGAAACAACCACCACAGAGAATGGGAACAGCCTTGGAGGTGATGCTCAGTACGATTTCTTTAGTGCTCAGGAAAAGAGGCCCTGTATGTACAAGTGTGAGAGAAGCTGCCCACAGCAGGACCAGCCTCAGCAGGCACTGCAGGGAGAAGGGGACATATTTCCAGGCCCCACGTATGAGAGGATGTTCCCTCTGCTGCACCCACACCCAGGAGAGATGGGAATGGGCCTGGGAGAGAAGGGAATGGGCCCAGGAGAGAAAGGAATGAGCCTTGCAGAGAAGGGAATGGGCCCTGGAGCTGCTCCCACCTCCTGTGAGGGGCCAGGGCCCCACTCTGAGTGTGGAGAGACTCCCCCAGGCACAGGCAGGCCCCGTGAGCAGGACAGCCTGGGCACAGAGGAGGCTGCTGAAAACGAGGAGAGCTTCCCCACGGACACCTCGGGATCCAGCCCCTGCTGGGAGCCGCCCCTGGCCCGGGGCAGCCCTGCCCAGCAGCAGAGCCAGGGCCGAGGCAAATCCTACATTTGCAGCGACTGTGGGAAAAACTTTGTGTGCCATTCGTGGCTCGTGAGGCACCAGACGAGTCACACGGGAGAGAGGCCCTACAAGTGCTCCAAATGTGACAAAACCTACAGGAGGAAGGATTACCTCCTGAACCACCAGCGCCGGCACACGGGAGAGAGGCTTTTCCAGTGTCCCCTCTGCAGCAAGAGATTTGTGCTCAAGAGGAGCCTGCTGAAGCATCAGGAAGGTCACATGCAGGACACCCACGTGCCACTGGTCAGCTGGCCCTGCGGGAACATCAGGGGCTCTGTGATGCATTCCATTTAGGACATCCCCCACAGCCCTTGGTGCATCCTCCAGGGCAGCACCCCCAGCTCTGTGGCAGACCCTGATGGCAGGAGGAGGCTGTGGTGCAGCCACCTCGAGCCTCTCCCAGGAAAAGGGAGCTAACTGGAGGTTATTTTGTGTTAGACAGCATTCACCAGTGCCTGTGGATTTGGGGAGGTGGAGTTTGGAGGTACTGCTGGCTGTGAGTCCATGTGGGAGAGAAACCACATTGACATGGAACAATTTGTGATGCGTGTTACAAAGAAGAGTTGTCTGAATAGAGAGAAATTATCCAAAATGTATCCAAAATGTTATCCCAGGAATCTGGAGTCCTTGGACTGGGCTGGGAGCAGTGAGTTAAAGGTATTAATTGTCCACTAAGGAGTGAATCGGTGTCAGGAAACACACACACTTGGGTGAGGTGCTTTGGGAAAGGAAGTGTTGCCCCTGTGGCTGTAGGAGGAAGCCTCTTTCTTCTGTGGCAAACAGAAAGAGGCTGCAGAGCCTGGGAGGCAGCTTATTCCCACTCTTAAATCCTGGGGCTCCTCGCTGCTAAACCCCAAGGGAGAATTCCTGAAGGCTGAGATCCTTCCTGGGAGTTGTAAGATGGCCATGCAGCCTGGAATATGGTTTTAATTCTGCATAGCCTTAAAGTTGTGTTGCATTTCTTTTCCCACATTGTTCACAGACTTCTGTGTTAGTTCAGTTTTCCAAATCCTATGAAAGCAGACCATGGAGATGCTGCAGAAACCTGGGAAACACAGAGTTAATGAGCTGCTGTGTCCCAAGCACTGATAACAGGATCTGCTGGAGACCAGGCTGGGTGGAGGTAGGGCAGCTCTGCTCCTCCAGCCTCCTCCCCCAGCTCTGTGTGCTCCACTCCCAGGAGGAAAGAAATTCTCAAGGTTTGTAGATGCCCGTGGTCAAAAAGGAATGACAGGTGTCAGAAGGGTCCAAAAAAGCTCACAAAGTTCTAACGGCAAATTCCACCCTCAGCATGGGAATTTTTTGCCCTTCTGGTCAGAAGAGAAATAAAAAGGTAAAAGAAGAGAGGAAAGAGAGAGGGAGATCAGAGAGATAAAGGGAAGGATATCACCAGTCCTGGCTCCAGCATCAATCCAGCTGTGTTCAGGATCCCAGAGGTGCCCTGTGAGCCCTGGATCACCCTTTTACAGCCACACCCTGGGGCTACTTTTTTCACTTTTGATGCAAACAAGTCAGCAGACACAGCCCATCCCTCTGAATCTCTTAGAAATGGATCAGGGGGTCTCTGGTGGTTTTGATCCTCCCTGATTGATCAGCCTTTGTTGGACACTCCATGCCTTGTGCTGTGCATGCTGTGCTTATCTCCAGGAGCCAGAATAAGGGTGTTTGTCCCAAAAAAGAGCTGTCCCTGCTCCGTGTGCCCCCCTTTTCCAGCCACATCCCGTCCTTCCCCATTCAGTGTCTCACACAACAGTCCTTGGCTGGCTCCACAGCTGAGACACAGCCCTTTATCTCCTGGCCTTCTACAGAATCCAAAGTGATAAACCAGGGCCTGAAAAATGACCAGCCTGAGACTCTTCTTGCTTCAGCAGAATACAGGGAAAGAGAATTATTTGAGAATTTAGGTAGGAAAAAGCGTGGTAGAGAGAAATAAGACCCCAGAGAGGAAATGAAAGGGGAGGGGAAGAGCTGAATTATTGCTGTCAGTGAAAACTGAGCAACTGCAGAAAGAGTTAAGGAAGAAAAGGAGGAAGACAAGCCCAAAACTGGAAAAATCAGAGGGGCTGAAAATTTCAGAGGGTCCCCCTCTGCAGCCATGTCTTATTCCAGTTTGTCCCTTGTTACCCAGGTCTGGGACACAGCAGCACTTTAACTCCTTGGTGCCCGGGATGGTGCACCCCAGGGCACTGCCCACACGGTGTTGGAACCCACAGCTCTTACTGGGGCCAGCTTAGCTGCAGCTCCAGAAATTCCCATTCCTGCCATGGCTGGAATTTGCCATTGTGGTACTTTAATTCTAAATCAAGGAGTGCAGGTGCTTTGTAGAGCCTGTGCCCTGTAGCCTCTGGAATTCCTTTGGGGTTAAGGTTGGCAGATTCCTGCTTCTCACCCAGCAGCCATAAATTACCCTGAGCAGTTTGGCACAGGGGGATTTGCTCCAGGGATTTTAACTCTTTGTCCTCCGGGTGCTACTCCAGCATGCTGCTATGTTAATACTGGATATTGTGCTCTCGTGTCTATTAAAAATTTTTATTAATTGTTGGCAAAACCAGCTGAAATGTGAATATCCAGGCCATTATTCTGGCTGCATGGATAAGATTCCACTTGCTGGATGTGTGGCTATTAAGGAAATTTCCCTGCATGCCCATCCAGGAGCCACTGTGGAGTCACAGCTGAGCAGTACCTGAGCCAGCTCCTGTGAGCCCGTGGGTCCCTGTTTGATGCCACTGCACACTCACACAGCTTTCCTCACAGACTCCATCCCAGATTTCCCATTGCAGAGCCTCGGTCAGCTGGATCCTTGCAATAATTTAACCTTGATACAACGGCAGGGTAACAGCTCAAGGTGGTGCCTCCATGCTGGGACCCAAACAAAGGAATTCCACCCCCTCTCCGGGCTTTTCTCACCTCACCACCTAAACAGAAAATGTGGGATGACCGGCTCCTGCTGTGTCCCTCACTGTGCCCTTTGTTATGCAAAGCTCGGGCAGTTCCCGTGCCCTGGCTCCGGATTGTTTCCCTCCTCACGCTCGGGATGTTCTTGCAAATGAACCTGGCTCAGATGGAACGGGATCGCTTTTCATGAGCCATTTCCCGAGCTCCAGGAGGTTCGGGGGGTGTTGGAGGAGGTAAGGAATGACCTTACCTGGGTTCTCGGGATCACCCCGAGTTTCCATCCCGTTCTAATCTGTGCACTTGTAGCAGCTAAGGCTCCAAGGAGTTAAGGCTGTGCCCTAAACGCTGATAAGGAGCGGGATAGAACAGGATGTGGTTGGAGAGGAGGGCACGGCAGATTGGCCGGTGCTGTTCAACTCCCCCTGGGGACGCGGAGACACGACAAATAGGGGACAAGGCCAGAGGGGAAGCGAGCAGGGAGATCTGCAGAGGAGCATCGAGATCACCACAGCCCCCCAAAGCCCCCCGACCCAATTCCAGAACGGTCCAGCAGCGGGATTGCGCACACTCTCTCATTTGCATGGGAAGTGGGAAACCTGATGCCGGGGCGGGGAAAATTTACCCATAAGGAGGTGTCCCCACAGCATCCTCGGGACCCTGCACACCCTGCACACCCGGATCGGCGCTGGAGCCAGGACTGGTGATGTTCCCTCACCTCTCCCCTCGCCCCTCCTTCCTTTTTAATTTACTAATAGAAGATCAGGTGCTAACTCATGGCAATTTCCATGCCAAGTGTATCATTTACTAATCAAACTTCGTAGCTCTTTCGGGATCCTCTGTCGTTCCCTTTGGACCCGGGGCAGCTCCACACGTGAGGAACTTCCCTCCCCTTGGAGCGGGACACGGCACTGCTGGTTAAACATCCTTCCCAGCTCTTCTGCTCGTGTTCAGGGTTTCTCACGGGATTGTGTCGTGGCCTTGTAAGAACACGACTTATTAATAAGAGTCTGGATTTGTCACCTGTCACTTTGTCGGTGGCACCGTGGGGAAAAAATAGAGAAACAGAGTCAGGGAAGAGCCTGTTTGGGGTCAGAGCTCCTTTAACTTAAAGGAAACTTCCTTAAAGGAGCTTTTTTGCGTGCGTGTTTCTGCTTGAGTTTTGCCCGGATGTTTGATTCGTTGGTTGGAAATTTCAGGGATTTTAATTAAAAATTTCAAGTGCCCCGGGTCGTTCTGCAGCGGGAGGGGAAGGGAGGAGCGAGGCTGAAGCCAGAGGAGGAACTGAGCGGCTGCCACCCCCCAAATCCCAGGTTTCGAGGCATCTTTGCATTGGGACGAAACGGGCGGGGAGGCGGGGGCCGGTCCCGGGGTCCGCCTGGGATCCAGGCGGGGGAGAATCCCTTCGCTCCCCCGGCCCGGGACGGCGCTCCGAGACGGCGAATCCCGCGTCCCACCGGTGCTCAGAGAGGGAGACCCGGGGCTCCGCTCCCGGCTTGCGGCCGGTGCTCGGTGAGGAGTCCCGGGGCTCCGCTCCCGACCCGTGGCCGGTGATCGGTGGAGCCTCCCGCGGTTTCCGCCGCGCTGCCGTTGCCGTGACAACGAGTGGACGCCGTCCCAATCTCCACCTCCCTTCCCGTCTCGTCCAATCAGCGCCCTGCTTTCCCCGCGCGCTGACCAATGGGGATAAGCGTCCCTCCCGCCCTCTCCTCGTGGAGGCCACCGCGCGCCGGGCGCTGGGCGGACCTGGCGGTCCAATGGCGTGGGGGAAATGGGTCAGGGCTGAGTTCGGATTGGCTGCTGCTGCCCGACGCCGCCTGTGATTGGCTGCTGCGGCTCGGCGGGGCTGAGGGGAGGAAGATGGCGGCGCGGCGTGAGGGAGAGCCGGGCTGCCGGGGGCCCCGCGGCGCTTCCCGCGCTGCGGAGCCGTGTCCGGCCTCGCCCTGCGGCGCCTTCCCAAGGGCCCCGGCTCCCCGATAGCAGCGCCGCTACCCGCTTCCCCCACGGCTGTGGGACGGCGAGAGAGGCACAGACAGCCCTGGCATGTGCAGGCGGTGAAAGTGGGGCTGGGCTGGAGCCGTTCGTGGTGAAAGGGACCTGGAAGCCCATCCAGTGCCACCCCTGCCATGGGAGGGACACCTTCCACTGTTGCAGATTGCTCCAAGCCCCGTCCAGCCTGGCCTTGGACACTTCCAGGGAACATCCACAGCTTCCCTGGGCGCCCTGTGCCAGCCCGTCCCCACCCTCCCAGCCAGGAACTCCTTCCCAATATCCCACCTCTCCTTCAGTTTAAAGCCATTCCCCGTTTCCTGTCCCTCCATGCCTTGTCCCCAGTCCCTCTCCAGCTCTCCTGGAGCCCCTTCAGGCCCTGCCAGGGGCTCTGAGCTCTCCCTGGAGCCTTC